ACGAATACTGTCCGTACTCACTACAAGGAAGAAGTCGAGAGGCTACAAGAAGAGATTGAGGCTCTCCACCATGAAATCGAAGACAAGGAGGGCCAGTTTGCTCTCGAGCAAGACAGGTGGGAGAGCGCTAGGCGTGCCTTGCAATTGCAGAAGGACAGAGCTGAAGATCAGGCAGCTGGTTTCAAGCGCACGATAGAAAAGCTTGAGCAAGTTGAACATACTCTGTCTGGAAAAGAGATGAAACTACAAGAAGTCATCGATAGCGAGAAGACGCGCCACTTTAACTCGGAGGCTGTTTTGAGCCGGCAGGTCAAAGAACTGAACGACGACCTCACATCAAAACGGGAGATCATTGATGAACAGCGTAATGAAATCCTTTCCCTGAAAGAAGATTTGAGGATTGTTAGACGTTCAGAGGCAGCGCTTCAAGAGAAGATCCAGGCTCTGGAGGACGAGATTGTCGTCTTACAATCGAGTTTGGAGGAAGAACAGGAGTATACCAAGGGCCGAACACAGAAAGGATCTGCAGAACATGACAGTCAAATCCAAAAGCTCATCAACGAGAAACAGAGACTCCGTGATCAGCTGGCTAATGCCCATGTCGAATTACACGATTTGCGGACGTCTGCTGCTGAAATTGAGACAGAACGCGATGAGCTTCAGGTCCAACTGGATCAGGCCCAAAATCAAGTTGACGACACGACGCGTTTCGATAAAGAAAAGGTCGATCTCCGAAAATCCGTTCTACGGCTTGAAGGCGAGGTTAGACGCCTTAAGGAGGACAGATCCTCATTGTTGGAAGCCAAGGAGACGCTAGAAAAGCAGCTGAGCGCTGAGATCGAGCGGGCTGCCCTGGAAGAGAACCGTCTGTCTGCCGAAATCGACCAACTTCACGATAAGCTGCACACGAGTTCGGGTGGAAGGGATCGCGAGCTGGCGTTGACAAAGAGTAAGGCGCAACGTTACGAAAGACGCATACAAGAGCTTGAGAACCTCCTTCAGCAGCAGCCACATGCTGAGAACGAACATTCGACTGCAAATGGAGACCTCTCGATGCTTCGTCATAGTCTGGATGAGGCTCGGAAGCGTGAAAAGACGTTGCTTCAGCGCGAAGCCGACCAGAAGTCGTCCGTCCGAAATTACAAAGCACGGCTTGCTGAATTGGAAAGAGAACTGCACGATGCTATGATGAAGAAATACGAATCCCACTCACCGTCCTCTTCACCCTCCAACAAACTCCATGATGAGCTCCGGAATCTACGAAAACAGCTGTCTGAGGCACACCGAACGCTACGGGAAGTGAAATCGAAGAATCGCGATCTTGAAAGAGCTGCAATGAGAGAAGAAGACCAGCGTGATCTTCATGAGCTACTCAAATCATCCACTCTGGAGGCGGAATCGCTCGCGCTCAAGGTGTCAGAACGAGAGGCCCGTATGAACGAGCTCAAGGCGCAAATGCGCAGGATCCGTGATGAGCGTTCATTCTGTGCTAGAAAGGCTGAATCGGCCTTGAAGGAGCTCGAATCCCTGCAAGAGCGATATGACCACCTCGTGGAGAAGATCGGGACGAAGAGCGAGAGCAGTAAGACAAGACATGAGAAGGAGATTCTCGGTCTGGGCAAGGAAATTATCTGGCTTCGTGCGCGACTGAAGCGTGAGGAGAAGTTCCGCCGTGACCTGGCCTGGAGTAAGGGCTTGATGGAACTTGGCGAGCGTGTTCGGGTTGCCTGGTTAGTCCCCTCATTTCTACGACTACCCTATCTTTATTATCGTTTAACTAACATACTCCCTCCAACAGCAACGAAGCCGATCTCCGCATGATCTCCGACATGGGTGTCAAATCCCGTGACCGTAACAAGACCCGCACTCCCCAGTCCAAGCTGAAGACTGCCGTCTCCATGGTCAGAGCCGTCGTCCGTATGCAACGGATGTGCCAAGACTGGAAGAAGACGAAGAAGCTTGGTGAGGGACTCCGACGGGCAAAGAATGAGGTGCTGAAGAGGCGAGACGCTTCTTACAGCAAAGCCTGATCGCTGCCTTTATATGACCTCTCGAACCGTCTGATGTCGAGCCTCTCTTCCTTCCTTTCCCGCTAAATGGGGTTACCCCCCATTGATTTCCAATGATTTTGCATTTCCTTTTGGCTTTGTTGAGAAGATTCCCCGGCGTTTTTGATGGATCTGTCTTAAGGCGTTGTCCTCTCCTAGGTTGGATTGTGAAAGGAATTGTCGTTGGTATTGTACCTACTACTTTGTTTGTGTAGTTTCTCCCCAGGGATAATGGTTCCCTCACACATATACTCTTTATTTTTAGTATTGTTGGTCTGGGTGGTTAGATTGAATGGTTAATGAGATATGTCTGAACCCAAATTTGAATTCATGGTTGTTGTATAGCAGTAATGGATGTGTTTTCAATATCTGGCCTACCAAAAAATGATGAACTAAGACCACCACAAAGGCCAGTGTATACGCACATAAAGTGAGAATTGAATTTCAACCGACGACGTTCATTCCACACCGAGTCATGTAGTTGAGTAAACAGAAGGAGAAACAAAACAGTGACTTTAGATCAACGCCTCGCCTTGCTGCACAATGATAAAAACATGAGTCTGCCTAACACCGAGATGGAAGGTGTGAGAGAAAACAGGAAAGTCGAAAAGAAATAAAGAAAAGAGAAGAAGTAATGGGGAAAAAGGTCGTAGGAAGCATTTCGGATGGTGTACGTATATGTAGTGAAGCACATGGAGGTGTGTGTGGTCGTGGATTTTCTTTTCTTTCGTTCGTTTGTTCGTCCCTTCATTCCAATTGAGCATTTGAAATCCATGCATGCCAAATCATGTCGACCGAGTCAATATCGGGAGGGGGAAAAAGGATATCCGAATAATGGGGACGGATGGGAAAGAAAGCTTGACTTTATGAAGCCTGGTTGATTCTATCGGGTCGTGATGAGGCAAACGAGAGGATGATGGATGGACTCGTTTGTCTTCTTCTAAATAGGAGAAGATGGATGTGGATAAGTTTGTGGTGGATCTTAGTTTAAGCACCCTCGCTGCCGAATTCCTTGGTCCATTCGGAGTTTCGTTGCAGGTCTTCTTGACTGACAGTTGGTCGGGAGTTGCGGACCGCCTTGATGAAGTCTTTCAGGACGAGCGGGGGTTCCAGGAGTTGGTCGGCTTCTACGGTGGTCCATGACATTTCCATTGCGCCTTGGTCGCCCGGTGAGCAGGGGGTTAGCTTTTCGGCACCGTCGAGGATGACCTGGATTTGTGGTTAGTGTTGTCTTCCCTAGAAATATGCATGACTGGAGGGCTTACCTTCTTGTAGTGCGTTGCTGTTTGGATCTTGCGGATTGGCTGCATCAGCGCATCCTGCACAGCAATGCTAATATCGCTACCGGAGTAGCCCTCGCTCATCTCTGCCAGGGTTCGGTAGTCGGCTTGCGTCAACTCGCAGGGCGTGGAGCCGACAGCCAGCATGAACATCTTCATTCGTGCGTTGATATCGGGGAGACTGATGTGGACTCGACGCTGGAATCGACGACGAATGGCTGCATCCAGTTGCCAGGGAATGTTCGTTGCGCCGAGGATCAGAACGCCCTTTGAGTCTTTGCCAACACCGTCCATCTGAACGAGCAATTCCGTCTTGATACGACGAGATGCCTCTGATTCACCTTCGCCACGAGGGCCGCAAAGAGCGTCGACTTCGTCAATGAAGATAATCGCCGGCTTGTTTTCTCGCGCCATGTTGAAGAGCTGCTTCACGAGTCTGTAGAGGTATGTTAGCTCTGGGAACCGACATGTAGCAACATGAGATCACCGATTGATCCATACCTTTCACTCTCACCCATCCACTTCGACACTAAGTCACTACTACTGACACTGAAGAATGTGCTGTTCGCCTCCGTCGCAACAGCCTTGGCGAGATATGACTTTCCCGTACCCGGGGGCCCATACAGCAAGATACCCTTCCACGGTTGGCGCTTCCCCGTAAAAAGGTGTGGGAACTTGATCGGTAGAATGACCGCTTCCTTCAATGCCTCCTTTGCGCTCTCCAGACCGGCAACATCCTCCCACTGCACATTGGGTTTATCCGACAAGATCGCCCCAGCAAGGGCGGACCGTAGCTTCTTCGAGTCGGCGTCCTCGCCATCTTCGTCCTGGTTTCTAATTCACCAAGGAATGTTAGCATACAATGCTCTCTGGGCCAAAAGCAATCGGATGCCGGCAGACATGTACATACCCTCCCTTCCCACTTCCTTGCGCCACCTTGCCGTTAGCGCCCACCGCACTCGGCTTTTTTCGATTATCTAGAGTAGCCAGGTGATTCTTGAGTTTCTCCGCACGATCCATGTACTCGCCGGCCTTTGCGCGGATCATCTCCTTGGACTTGGGGTTCTTCTCCCATTTCAGTGCCAGCATGAACAGCTCCAGTGCCGAGTAATACAGCTGATAAGCCTTCTCGTATTCGCCCTCATTGTCGTGCTCGATGGCTTTTTTGACGGTGTCAATCGCCCTCCCTAGGAAGTCGGTATTACTCATGGCTGAAGTGAAAAAGGATTCGAAGTATCGTTCACGGAATGATCGTAAGGGGGAGCAAGCAAGCAGGGCTGGCTGGGCTGGTTAAAGGCGGGGAGCGAATGACGACGGAAGCCTGCCTGGTTTCGTCCGGCCGTCTGTACTGTTTGTCACTGCGGGCGCAAGAAGGGGACTCGATTGCACCGGAACACGGAACAAACAATGACGTATAGGATTGATTCTTAGCGAATCTACACCTCTTTCCAAAAGGGGGGTTTAAGTAGGGGTTTAATCAGGAGAGCTCAATCATGTAGGAAGTGCAAGAAGAGGAGATACTTGGGAATGGAGGAATGGCACGAGCAACGTAGAGAGACACAGGCCGAAAAGGCGGGCAGACGGCCTTGTTTACCGTCTTTGGTTGGTTTTCTGCCGCTCCGCTTCCCATTTTGCCCCTCCGAGATAGATAAACTAATCCCATTTCCCCGACGACCATTTACACCACACCTCATTATCCATAGAGATTGTCACACGGCATCATGGCGGACGCACAGAAGCAAATGCAGGCGCTTACGGAAGAGTTTCAGACGTTGCAGACTGGTATGTTGGTACTCTTGACTTGTTTGCTTACCATTTGAGGGGAGCATGCAAGCGTCATCTATTCTGTCTTCGTCAACCGGACTATCTTGACACGATGCTATGCGCACTATTACTTGCAAGCATGAAACAAATACTAATACTTGATTGTAATAGAGCTTGACGGTCTAGTCGAAGCGCGCCAGAAGCTCGAATCACAGCAGCAGGAGAACGTCGGCGTTCAGAAGGAGTTCAACTCCCTTGACGACGAGTCGAACATTTACAAGTTGATCGGACCGGTTCTGCTGAAGCAGGATAAGAATGAGGCTATGATGGCTGTCAATGGACGTCTTGAGTTCATTGAGAAGGAAATGTGCGTATCAGTTACCCTCCCCTCTCCCACCTCTAGTTGGGTGTTGAAGTGAGAGCTGTGACTGACATGATCTATCTATAGCAAGCGCATTGAGGGACAGATTCAGGAGAACCAGGACAAGGCAGACAAGAAGCGCGCTGAGGTGAGTTTTATGGTCATTGTAGCAGGCATGCGATCGGTAATCGGGACTGACAATTCGTGATACAGATCGTTCAGTTCCAGACTCAGATGCAACAAGCGGCGGCGGCTGCTTCTGCTTGAAGATAGACGGATCATTGTTACCAGTACTATAGGTAGAAGACACTGGCTATCTTATCACACGATGATAACGAGGAGATATAATTGTTAGTGATGGCGGATGAGAAAGAGCAGCCAAGGTACCTGACCGGTTCAAAGGCGATGATGCACGTCGCCTCGGAGGTCCTGCGAAATAAAGAAGCACCGACGGCAGAGCTACTTTTGGGTGCGATGGCCAATGATGGCCCAGCACAACGAGGTTGGGAGGTTCTATATACCCTTGTTAATGATCGTTGCGAACATTTCAGAAGACTATACGGATGCGTAGTCAATCGGGCCGTCTGTCGACCGAAGGGTGGCACCTACCCTGTGTGGGTGCTATGGTTGATTGGAATCACGATGGATACGATGTACCCCTCAAGGCACAATTAGAAGTACATTTGTATAAGAGCATGGAAGAGATTCAAAATAAACAAAATTCTGTTCTATCTCGCTCCAAAGCTAAACCCCAGTATAGACACCGTAATAATTCATTTCTTCATCAATGGAATCGTATCCAGACAATACATGACATCTACTCTATACGCTAAATCTATGCCTTAACCAAAAGGCTGCGGCCGGACATCTCCTCGGGCTGCTCGATGCCCATGGCAGCCAGGACGGTGGGAGCAACATCTCCCAGAACACCCTCCTCCTTCTTGAGGCTCCAGCCCTCGGGGGCGTTGGCCATGACGAAGGGGACCTTGTTGGTGGTGTGGGAAGTCTTGGGGGTGCCCTTCTCGGTAAGCATCTCCTCGGCGTTTCTATCGGGCAGAGGAAATGAATGTCAGCGAGTCATCTTTGCCTAAACGTGTCGGAGGCGAGACTTACCCATGGTCGGCGGTGATGAACAGGATGTAGCCGTGCTTCTTGCAGGCCTCATAAATGACGCCGATGGCCTTGTCGGTGGCAGCAACACCCTGGATGGCAGCCTCGTAGACACCGGTGTGACCAACCATGTCGGGGGGAGCAAAGTTGTTCATGACAAACTCGAAGTTGCCCTCACCAAGGCGCTCGGCCATCTTGTCACCCACAGCGGCAGCGCTCATCTTAGGCTCGAGGTCATAGGTGGCGACCTTGGGAGACGGGATCATATCGCGGACCTCGCCGGGGAACTGCTTCTCAACACCACCGTTGAAGAAGAAAGTAACGTGAGCGTACTTCTCAGTCTCGGCAACGTGGCACTGCTTAACATCCTTCTTGCCCAGCCACTCGGCCAACACGTTACCCATGTGCTGGGGAGGGAAGGCAACAGGGAAGGTGTAGTCGGTCTTGTACCGGGTCATGGTGGTGATGTGGATGTCCTTGGGGTAAGGGAATTCGGGCTTGGGAGAGCGGTCGTAGTCACCCAGCAGCTGAGTGATCTCACGAACACGGTCGGAACGGTAGTTGAAGAAGAAGAGGGTGTCGCCATCTGTCATCGCTAGTGAGCACCTCCATTTATTATAAGCAAAGGAAACACAACATACCCTGCACACGTCTGTCCTTGCCACCAACAATGATGGGCTTCAGGAACTCATCGGTCTCCTTGTTCTCATAGCGCTCGTTGATGGTCTTGACGGGGTCAGAGCTCTCCTCGCCCTCACCCGTGACGATACCCTTCATGGCGATCTCAACCCGGTCCCAGCGCTTGTCGCGGTCCATGGCCCAGTAACGTCCGACAACGGTAGCGATCTCACCAACGCCAATCTCCTTGGCCTGGTCGAGCAGTTGCTGCATGTACTTGGTAGCGCTCTTGGGCTCGGTGTCACGGCCATCACCAAAGAAGTGGATGAAGACCTGAGGGATCTCCATCTCCTTGGCGACCTTCAGCAGGCCGACCAGGTGAGTGATGTTGGAGTGGACACCACCATCCGAAACCAGACCCAACAGGTGCAGACGGCCGTTGCCCTCCTTGGCGCGCTTGAAGGAAGCGACAATGTTGTCCACCTTGCCCAGCTCGCCCTTCTTGAGGGTCTGGTCAATGCGGACACTGTCCTGCCAGACGACACGGCCAGCACCAATGTTCAAGTGACCGACCTCACTGTTGCCCATGAGACCCTCCGGCAGACCGACAGCGAGGGAGGAAGCATCGAGTTCGGTGTAACCCTGAGCAGTCTTCGAATCGGCCTCGGCGAAGCCGGACATGAAGGGAGTCTCAGCGGCAGCGATAGCATCACCGTCCTTGGGGGAGTTGGGACCGGCGACACCCCAGCCATCGATGACGACTAGACAGCAGGCTATTAGTGGATTGCTGGGCGACAGAAGAAAGGATTGGACATATTCAACTTACTGAGGGCGACTTTCTGATCAACCTTGGCCATTTTTGCTATATACTCTGTGCTCTAAGTTGTTGGAGTGCATATGTTAGCCAAAGCAATTTAATTGCCAGCGCAAAATGTAGTCCGGGGATAGAGCGGGATGGGCTCGGGAAGCACTCACCAAAAGTGGGGATGGAATACAAGAAGAGCAAAAGAATGGGTGGGAAAAAAGAGGTGTAAGAAGGAAGAAGAAAGATAGAAGAGAATTAGGATAGAAGAAGGAGAAGGAGGAGAATTGATAGGTGGAGCACGAAAAGGCTGGCCGGTGAAGACAATCAATGGCAAGACCAGCGTAGTAACAGTAATAGTAATAGAGGAGGGGGAGGGGCACACACTTTGGCTTTCGGTGACGCTTTGGGACTTGTTTTGTTTTCGCTCCGCCCCGACGTCACCTTCCACTCCCTTCTTTAGTGTCTTTTTCTCCGACTTTCCTCTCCCTCCCGTTCTCGTCCGGCTTCCCCGGCTCTTCCCTAAACAATTACCCAGCTTCCCCCGCGAAACGAGGCTATTCCCTTTCCCCACGTGAGCCCTCTGCTCTGGTCTCTCGACCGTTTCTCTTGTCTTCTTCTTTCTTTTCGTTGTGTCTGGTCCGCGCGCTGCTGCCCTTCCCGCGATGGCGTCCCGATCCCCCACGGCGGTCACTCCCCTACCAAAATCATCCGTCGCGCCCGAGACTCCGATGGTCAAGGACGCCCCCGCAACCCCCCAGGCCGTTCCTTTTCCTTCTCCACAGACATTCGACATAGTCCCGCCGTTGCATGGCCTCCTTTCGCGTCTTCTATCGCCGCCAACGAACGCTGCTGGAGTCTCCAATGGCGTGAGAGCGGCCGATGATCCTACCGGCGCTGCTGCTCCTACCGGTCCGCCTTCAGGCACCCCCGGCCAACCTCAATCGCAGCAACAAGCCGGGGCCGAGAATACCAACAATGCTGGAGTCCTGGGGACAGTGACTTCAGCTGGTCCAGGCGGTGCAGAAATATCCGGCTTGGGTTCGGGTACCTCTCCAGCGCTCGATATCAAGGACCTTCCGACAGAGGTCAGCTCGATCAAAATTCGGATTCAGAAGGCACAGGCCGTGGTGGAAAACTTACCAGACGTTGATCGGTCGGTTGCTGATCAGGAAGAAGAAATCCAGGAGCTGGAGGACCGAATTGCAAAGCTCAAATCGGTCATCTCCGACTTTGGCCAGATGGCAAGCTCAGGAGGTGCTAGGAAGCACAAGTCCCAGGGACCTTGAGGGTGTGCATAGAAGGAGATGTGAATGTATATGTGCAAGTGTTGATGTCAACTGCTCTTGGTCGAGCACACCGAGCACGTCAAGCCCACGACAAGTATCCGAGAACAACCTCCCTGGCAATTTTCCGCAACCCTGATGGTGAAGAGCAACTTATTCCGAGCTTGGAACGGAATCAAAAATTGAGGTTCTGCCGGGGATAGGGGTTTAGAGAATAGAGCTCCGGGTTAGATCCAGTTGAGCAAGTCACTAGCTTCGTCCGACTCGTCTTCACTCAGGATGCGGATGACTATGGTATGGATAAGCCATGGGTTGGTCAGTGTATGCATCTCCTGGTATCGCAAAGATGGTCGTAATGCTCAGCGACAGACAGGTGCTTTTATGGAGTAAGCCTTGTTGGGACTTATGCTGTCTTGCCATTGCCCGTGCTATTGAGGTTGTGGGTTATGGCTTGTCCGAATTGCCATGTGATCATTAAAAGGAAACATCTTAATATTCGCATAACCACCAAGTTGCTCAGCAGAACTTCTATGAAGGCGTCTGTCGGGCGGGGGATATTCGCAACCTGCTTTGACCCCTCCAGCGCCACCACGGTCCCCATTACAAGGTGCAAGCATCCCGAGAGGCTATGTTTGCTATGGGAACTGGAAGATCTATGGTGGAGCAGACTTGTTAAGGCCGCACCATGATACGCATGGTGATCTAGAAGCTACGAAATAATAGTGGAGTGGATGCATGCTATGACTCCTTATAGCAGAGTTAGTTACCAGTTTAGAATTAGATGAAGCTCTCATTCTGTATGATGACTGCCACATTCGCGTTCTACGTACGTCGCATAAGCATGAATAAATCCAGCTGTACTTCACACAATCTCTGTCCTCGTTGAAAAAGATTCACAACTCATCAGCTATCCGGGAAGATGTAGATCAACGGTAGGGTTGGGAGGACGCCCCCTCGTGTTTCATGGGTGGGTGGTGGTAGCTTCAGTTGGCCGATGCTGATCGTTCCAGCGGCACCAATCGGAGCCGGGCTGGTAGGCTAGCGGATTGACTTTTTCCTGCCTTTCTTTCGCCTTCAGCCGCTTGGTGGCATCCCGGTCGGGTTTCCGAGATTAAGAGAAAATTTACCAGATTAATTCTTGTCATAATGTATCCTAGCCCGCCATGACATCTATTAGATCCCTTAGATCAATTGCTTCTTGCATAGGCTGGTCTGTTGCTGGATGGTCACTGTAGTTACTTAGTATTTACTTAGTAGTAGTCATTGAGTAATCGAGACGAGTAAGCGTCCAATGGTTTCCCCGAGCCGGTGAAGGAATGACGGGCTCCGATGTCGTCCCCCCGGGGCCCGATGGGGCTTAGCTCGGGTTTAGAAGCACAGGCGGCGGGGTGTAAGAGTCACCTTCCGTCTTTTTGGGTCCTGAGGCAATCTTTTTTTCCCTCCCCCACCCCATCCCTAGCTTTTCCTCTTCTTCCCTCTTAATCCTCCCCTTCTTCCCTCTTCCTTCTTCCTTTTCTTCATCCTCAAACCATCATCATCTCATTTTTCTCTCTTTCCCTCTCTCACCTAACTCTCTTTCTCTCACACATCCCTCTTCACAATGGCTACCTACGCTCTCTCTCCGGCTCACCGGAACGTATGTACCCCACTGAACTTTTTTTCCTACCTGGGGTGTCCCTCACAGCAGCACTCACTGACTCATCGATGTAGCAAATGGAGGTGTCCCTCGTGGACAGCGATCCTGAGATCGCTCAGATCATGGTACGTTTCGCATTACACATTGTGTTTTCTTCATCAAATAAGTAGTGTCATGGTACTAACTGCCCGACTACAGGAGAAGGAAATCCAACGTCAGCGCGAATCCATCGTCCTGATCGCCTCGGAGAACTTCACCTCCCACGCTGTCTTCGATGCTCTGGGTTCCCCCATGAGCAACAAGTACTCCGAGGGTTACCCCGGCGCTCGCTACTACGGTGGCAACCAGCACATCGATGCCATCGAGCTTACCTGCCAGGCTCGTGCCCTCAAGGCTTTCAACCTGGACCCCGCCAAGTGGGGCGTCAACGTTCAGTGCCTCAGTGGTAGCCCTGCCAACCTGCAGGTCTACCAGGCCCTCATGCGCCCTCACGACCGTCTCATGGGTCTTGACCTCCCCCACGGTGGTCACTTGAGTCACGGTTACCAGACTCCCGCCAGAAAGTAAGTTCTGCGGATTCGTCTCCCGACACAAGACACGTCGTGTAAGGGTACATTGGATGCTAACTGTTCGCTCCGCAGGATCTCTGCTGTCTCTACCTACTTCGAGACCTTCCCCTACCGTGTCAACCTTGAGACCGGTATCATTGACTACGATCAGCTCGAGGCCAACGCCGAGCTCTACCGCCCCAAGTGCTTGGTCGCTGGTACCTCCGCCTACTGCCGCCTGATCGACTACGCTCGCATGCGCAAGATCGCTGACAAGGTCGGCGCCTACCTCATCGTCGACATGGCTCACATCTCTGGTCTGATTGCCGCCGGTGTCATCCCCTCCCCCTTCGAGTACGCCGATGTTGTCACCACCACCACCCACAAGTCCCTCCGTGGTCCCCGTGGTGCCATGATCTTCTTCCGCAAGGGTGTCCGCAGCACTGACCCCAAGACCGGCAAGGACATCATGTATGACCTTGAGGGCCCCATCAACTTCTCTGTCTTCCCTGGTCACCAGGGTGGTCCCCACAACCACACCATCACTGCTCTGGCTGTTGCCCTTAAGCAGGTTGATACCCCCGAGTTCAAGCAGTACCAGCAGCAGGTCATCAAGAACGCCAAGGCCCTCGAGGAGGAGTTCAAGGCTCTCGGCCACAAGCTCGTCTCTGACGGCACTGACAGCCACATGGTCCTTGTCGACCTCCGCAACAAGAGCCTGGACGGTGCTCGTGTCGAGGCTGTCCTCGAGCAGATCAACATTGCTTGCAACAAGAACTCCATCCCTGGTGACAAGTCTGCTCTGACCCCCTGCGGTATCCGTATCGGTGCCCCCGCCATGACCACCCGTGGTATGGGTGAGGAGGACTTCAAGCGCATTGCCCGCTACATCGACCAGTCCATCAACCTCTGCAAGAAGGTCCAGAGCGAGCTTCCCAAGGAGGCCAACAAGCTCAAGGACTTCAAGGCTAAGGTTGCCTCCGAGACCGTCCCTGAGATCCTCAGCCTCCGCAAGGAGGTCGCTGAGTGGGCCAGCACCTTCCCCCTCCCCGTCTAAGCTAGTCATAGCCGGGTGACTTTTGATATGATACCATAACATTCTATCTTCTTCTATTTTTATTTTTCTTTCCTTTGTTTTTTTATCTTGTTAGGTTACGAGTTCAACATCATTGCGAGCAAAAACGGATTGTGGGCTGTGCGTTCTAAGGGGTTTTATACAGGTCTGCTTTTTCAACCTTACGCGGGTCATGGGATATGGATATGCATGAGCATGTGAATGAACAAATAGCACCGGGATGGCTTCTTCAACACTTCTTCAACAGGGCAGGAAAAGTTCGTGGTTGCATGGAGGCTTGGTACGCCTGGTTGAGTCTACTTTTACCTAGTAAATAGGTATTATGAACTGAAATAGAAAGATAATAAGTTCCATGAGACAAGCCAGACCCTCGAGTGTGTATTGTAGCGTTTTGTAAACATTACCGGAGTTGCAATCTCAATGCATTAGTGAATACTACTAGTGATAACTACTCTAGACATTTATATAATATGGTCTTAAGTACCATATCGTCATGCCGTCCGTACCTGCACCGACACAAGATCCGACGACGTAAAGGAAAGTCATACCAATCTTCCCATTCCTTACCGTTCCCTTTATAGCTCATGACGAACCGCATACGCTGCTGACTCCGCCTCTCTCCCGTCAGCCTGGGCCTGCCACTCTCGAGACATCAAAGCAGCTACATTCCTCCCCATCAATGCACTCGTCTCCATCGTAGAGATGAAGCTTTCAATCCCGCCCGTATACCAGACATGGGGGGCAAGGAGCGGCTCTTCGAACGTGACACGCGGATACTCGAACGGATACGGCCGCCAGATTTTCTCATGGAACCAGCTGATGTCTCGCTTGGAGAGATCGCCGATGGTAGTGTCGGTGTCGGTGTCGGTGTTCGAGGACGATTTGTGCTCGAGGCCGAGAATCGATTCGATGAATTCGGCTGTTGGCCGTTCCGGGGAGAAGATCTTATAGACGTAGTGTTTCCCTTCTGACGGGTCTGGGGCGTCCACTGTCCGGAGAGTGCTGATGCTCCAGAAGCCGGCTGGACCGACCCCGGCTTCGCTTTTGCCGATGTCAGTCTCTGGAGGGAGGGTGGTGAGGATCGTCTCGGGAGTGTAGGCATTGGGTTCTGTGAGGCCGAAATACTTGGGTGAGAGACGGTGCGGAGTGGCGAAGAGAGTGACGTAGAGGGTCACGAAAGGGATTTCGTCCGGCGTCTTCTTTAGTGGTGGGGTAACGGTGATGTTGGAGAATTGCCACGGACCGGCGATGACAACCTCGTCAAACTCGAGCTTCTCTTCTGAGTTGGTGGCTGTGGTGAAGGTTAGGGTCGAGGGGCCGTTCGCGTCCCAATCGAGGGATGTCACTGTGTGGTTTAAGCGGAGGTCGGCGTGGGATAGTTTGAGCATCCCGTCGAAGATCAGCCAGTTGCCTCCCTCCACGGCCATGGCACCCTCAGTCGCCATGCAGACCATAGTCTCGAGGCCATGAATCAGGGCAAGGTTTTGTCCGTAGTTGACACGGGTGCTAGCTTGGATGACTTCGCGGGAGAACTTGGCGGATACCTGGTTCTGCTGGAGGAAGGCCTCTCCAGGAACGGCAGTCACATTGACCAGCCCTACTGCTTCTGACGCCGATGTAAGGGATGAAAAGGGGAATATAGGCTCGTCGTAGAGTTTGAGGAAGTTGTTGACGGTCGACTTCATCAAGCGATAGGTCCTCACGGGTGTCCATCCATACCTCCAAACCAGCTTCGCAATATTCCACCAGGAGGATGCTTCCTTCATCACAAAGACGAACTGCTCCCCGTCCCAGACGCCAAGGGTGTCTTCAGTCTCTCTAGGTCGGTCATGATTGGCGCTATTAACATGGAGTCCGAGCTCTTTGGATGCATTGACAAGGTGATGATTAACCTCCACGAATATCGAGGCACCTAGCTCTACGGGTGTAGCTGGATTGTCATGGACATTCACTGTTGTGGAACGCCCGCCAACATAGGGAGAACGTTCGAAGACGGTTATATTGAGAGGAATGTGCAAGGCATCCGCATACTTGCGTAGTGAATAAGCAGTGCTAGACCCGGCAGCCCCAGCTCCTGTTGAAGGGTTAATTGTTGAAATTAGCACATGAGGGGACTATGGGATTGATCTCACCGATCACGGCGACCCGTTTGGGTGGTGTGACTCCAAAGGAGCCTAGAGGTTGCTGTTCGGTGGCATTGGCATGTGGGGGAAGGCATAAAGCTAAGACGTAGTATACTACATGAATATGAAGAATAAAGCGAAGGAAGTATGAAAGAGATGAGCGATGCATGAATGATTAAAGTGACGAATTGCTTATTTAGTGAATCAATGCCTCCACACTAGTGGACGTTACGATCGTCAGATGCAGGAGCTTGAAAAAGCAACGGTGCTCATGCTCAGTAGCTCGTGTGTACAAAAAGCTTGCTCTATAACCTCTTTTATAGAGGTCTCCCAGATGAAGCAGGTCTATAATTAGCTGAGAAAGGGAAAAGTGAAGATGAAATCAAGATGAGGATGAAACGAAGAGGAAGTGACGGTGGATGGCGAGATGTTCGAGATGTATTGACTGACGTATCACACGGGTATGTATCGATACCACAATTACTGCACTAGTCCCAATACAGACTAATGCATTCTGGGGCTATCGCAGATGGGGCTTTTCCCGTTTGGGCCATTCACTCTTTTTTTGCGCCAGAATTTCGGGCAGAAAAGAAAGAGGCGCTCTTCTTGTGATTTCCATCGCAACCTCTGCTACGTCTGGAGAAGGGTCTCATTGTTCTCGGTCTCACGGACTCTTCCATTGGCTATACTACATTAAGTTTCTCGACCATACCTGCACCAGCACCATGGATCCCTACGACAGCGACTCCTCCTTCGACGATGAGGGGGACTTCAGCGAGACCAACGTGCTGCTGGGCTACGCAGCCGACGAGATTGTAGAAGATACCATCAGTCATCTGGGAGGCTGGCCAGTACGTGCAATATCCAACTCCACCTCTTCATCCTCCTTCCTCACCCCGACTAACCAATACCCCCCCTCACAGACCTGGCTCGACGACGCTACCCCGCCTCCCGGCGACTTCGCCAAATGCAAAGTCTGCAACCAGCCCATGCTCCTCCTCCTCGAACTGCACGGCGACCTCCCCAACGACTTCCCTGACGATGAGCGCCGCCTCTACATCTTCTCCTGCCCCCGCAAAGCCTGCAACCGCAAACCAGGCAGTATCCGGGCTCTGCGCGCCACCAGAAAGCTGAAGATCGAGCCCCAACAACAGCCTCCCCGCCAGAGGGAAGAACAAAAGCCAGAGCCCCCGAAAGAAGAAGAAGAGAAGAAGCCCGCCGCAGCAAAGCCAGACCTCGGAGCCAGCCTATTCGGCTCCTCCACTCTCACCGGCAGCGTCTCCGCCAGCGCAAACCCCTTCTCCTCCGGCGCTTCCTCCACTAGCAACAACAACAACCCATTCGCAGCCCCAGCACCCTCCCCCAGCCTCGCCGCCAAACCGACCCCCTCCCCAGCACCTACCCTCTCCGAATCCTTTGCCGACAAAGTCCGCATCTCCTCTCCTCAACAACAACAACAACAACCCAAAACCAACCTCATCCCACCCCCCGAAGCCTCCACCGGCCCCAGCACCCCCTGGCCCGCCCAATCCGACTTCCCAGCCCCTTACACGAACTTCTATCTCGATGCCGAATACGAAACCATGTCTCGTCCCTCCACTCCCACTATCCCTGCCAACGTGACAATTGACAACACAGAAGAAGGTCCCAACGGCGGCGCAGCGGAGCTGAAGGACACCTTTGAATCCGAGCTCGATAAGGCCTTCATCCGCTTCTCTACTCGTCTAGGCCATAACCCTGAACAAGTGTTGAGATATGAATTCCGTGGTTCACCATTGCTCTATTCCCATGCTGATGCGGTGGGCAAGCGGCTTCATGATCCGTCGAAGACAGCGAACCCCAGTGCCAAGGTTACGACGGTTGGTGGAGGGAGTCGCATGCCTCGCTGTGAGTATTGTGGTAGTGAGCGCGTGTTTGAGTTGCAGCTTGTGCCGCATGCTATTAGCGTGTTGGAGGAGGGGAGGGAGGGGGTTGGGCTTGGACCCAAGGATGATGCTGGTATGGAGTGGGGGACGATTATCTTGGGAGTTTGTGGGAAGGATTGCGGTCCTAACCAGGTTGGGGTTGTTGGGTATAGAGAGGAGTGGGCTGGTGTGCAGTGGGAGGAACCGACGAAGTAAAAGTGGTGATGATGATGATGGGTTACGGATTTGGGTGAAGCGTAATGCCGTTCAAGACTTGATGTTGATGACATATATTATATCATATATAGACTTGAGTTTTTTGTTCAGATTTAGGATATCAAAAGTACATACAATACTACGACTGGTTATCTATGCACTGCTGGCCATGATCTTTGAAATGTTGTACTGTACTGGTACTGATCGCTTTTTGTATACGCACACTATGGATATCTTCGGTGAAATTGCGTTATCTTTTCACGTAGAGAGAATATGGTGAGAGGATAATCAAGGAGAAAATGATATATGAGGGTGGAAGAGGAAAGAAAGATGATGATGATGATAAAACACAACCTAGTCATGCAGAAGCAAAACTCGAAACGCCAATTGCGCCAGGTCCGGACTTCCCAACCCTCTCCCATGCTGGTCTATCCCCGTCATCATCGTCTTTTTTTTTGTTATAAGAGGCTTCGAGCTCGTGTCATGGGGGGTATCCGAAGCAGACACTTCGTCCCGTGTTCTTCTTTTGAATTTTCTTTTCGGGTGGTCATTCTTCCAACAAGACAGACCGAGATCGAGACCTGGGGGAAGGTTTGATCTTCGATTCGAGGCAAAATATTAGCAAGAATAGAAAGGGAATCTAGAACGAGAAAGGCTGCGTTGCGATGCGGATATCTTTTTTATCGATCCGCTCATGCAGCCTGCTCGAAACCACGGCGGATGACACGGCCGAACATGTCGACGCCGACGCGCTCGCTCTTGACCTCGCTGCGGGCCTCGTTCTCCTTGTTGGTGGGCACCTTGATCACGGTGTTGGCGCCAGACTTGTCAACCTCCCAGCTGCAGACCTCGGCGACAAACTTCTCGAGAGCCTCGCGGCTGCGCAGGTCGAGCCACTGCTCCAGAACCTCGGCAGGGATCTCACGGAAAGTCTTGCCGACCTCGACGGCAATGCGGATGCGCACGAGCTCCTCGAATCCGGCAACGTCGGCAACAAGGTCAGCGTACAGGTCGTCCGAGTTCAGGGTGGACCAGAACTGGGTGTACTGGGCAGACTCGAGGAGGGTGGAGAGGCGGGCGAGCTTCTGGATCGACTCGACGAAGTCGGAGGTCTGGGCGGCGGCCTGGGCCTCAGCGTCGGAGGCCTGGAAGGGCTGAGTGTGGGCGGGGAGAAGAGCAAGGCAGAGGGAGAAAGCGGGAGAGGGGAAGACAGTCAGGGCCTTGACGAGGACGTTGGTGACGGTCTCCGCCTGGAGAAGGTGGGGGTTGAACTGGTACCTGCCAGAGGGCGTGAAGGGGTTAGCATCGCTATTCAGGTATGATGTACATGCGATAGAATATAAGTTGAGATCATGGTTTTGTTTCAGGAGAATTGGAGTCTCGACATCCCCCAAAGTAGGGTGTCAGGTAATAGGAAACGTGATAATGATATAAGATTCTTCATCACATAAAACCAAAATGGTTCCCCGCGTCGGAGCTCTTTATGTTTCGGCTGAAAGTGTTTTGAACTGGATAGAAAGGCGCATGAACTCACAACTTCAGCAAGGCCAGGTTGGCGTAGCAGTCGAAGGTGCGGTCCTCGCACTGCTGGGCGACATAGTCCTGGAAGACAGTGGTGGTCTCGGGGTTGTAGCGGTCGAGGCCATTGAGGATGGCGTCAATGTTGGCCGGGCGGGTCTCGCACTTGTCGAAGGTGACACCCATCTTGACGGAGATACGGAGATTGGACGAGTTGGGGGGAAGAAGAGGGGAAAGCGTGGGTGGAGGAGGAGGAGAGGGAGGGAAGCAGAACGAGGGGATAGGAAGAGAGCAGCGGAATGGATGGACTCGAGGTTTGGCTGGCCGGACTTGCTTTTGGTGGGATTTTTCGATTGTCTCGCTGTGCGGCTGCCCGGCCGTCGGAGCCAATCCCAACTCGGTTAATTTGTCCGATGCATCTGCATTGGCATTATTTTTATTTTATTCCTTTCTATTCTAGTCAGTCAGTAAGTCATCACTCTTTACTAAACTTCACTCAATACTACTCTAAATTAGGCACTAGTGGCTGATCTGGTAAATCGTATGATATACTTTGTAACTTTACGATGAACCAAATTCCACGTGCCCCCGGAATCGGTCTCGCCGGGGGCAAAGGATCTCCCTGTCCCGTGGTGGGATCATGTCGGTGCTGGTAGGGATAGCCCGTGTCGCCAGTGTATCTGGTTAGTAGGGACTCGCCCCCGTGTAGGTTTACCCCGTGGTAGGTATATCCCGCGGTAGGGATTCGCCGTATATATAAGATGGCGGGAATAACAACTCCAACACAGTAGTAGCTTCTGCGCCTGAATTGTATACTTTGAACAATTGACCGCGTATTTCCCCTTGCCTTTGTCCGAAGCACGCACTTCTGACCGCAACCGGGATCCCTCCAACAACCCTAACGATATCCCCGGGCTATACTATACACCTTAAATCGCGATGGATGTCGTGCTCGATGTCCTCGACACATTCGTCCTCGATCGAGTGTACGCCTCAGTCTTGCCAGGTGGAAATAATAGTACCTCAGATTTTGATACTTCGTTCCTTCTGAACCAACATGTTGGCCGTTACTACCCTCTTCAACCCTCGCAATGGGCGACCGCCAGTCGCTGGAAGCGCGATGACCTGCCGAGACAAGCTACCTCGCTGTTGTTTATCACATGGTAAGACAGTTCATACTCTTCTCTCATGCCGATCGAGCATAGTCCAGCTGACAGTAAGTCCGTTACACAACTAGGCTCTTCGGTCTAGCCATATACTTCATCGGCAGCACCATCTTTTACCACACATGGTGGGACAAGTCCCTGCTCAAACATCCACGGTTCCTGAAGAACCAAGTCCGTCTGGAAATCGAGCAAGCCCTGTTCTCCATTCCGATAATGGCTATCCTCACGGTTCCGTTCTTCCTAACCGAGATTCGCGGCTGGTCCAAGCTGTACGATTTCGCCAGTGAAGCTCCGTTCCCTGCATACAACTGGCTTCAGTACCCACTGTTCGTGGCATTTACAGATTCCGGGATCTATTGGATTCATAGAGCGGAGCATCATCCTCTGGTATATCGGTGGTTGCACAAGAGACATCACAAGTGGCTGGTGCCGACACCTTTTGCAAGTTTCGCGTTCAATCCACTGGACGGGTGGGCACAGAGTCTCCCGTACCACGTCTATCCGATACTGTTCCCATTGCAGAAGGGTGCATATCTGGGATTGTTTGTTTTCGTCACACTGTGGACGGTTCTGATCCGTAAGTGCCCTTCTGTTCTTGTCCAGTCTCTCACTAATCGCATCTAGACGACGCCGACTGTCTTTCCCATTCTGCTGTCATCAATGGCCCTGAATGCCACACCCTGCACCACTTGTACTTCAACTATAACTATGGGCAGTTCACAACGTTCTGGGATCGCGTTGGAGGAACCTATCGGAAAGCCCGCGGCGACGAGTTCAAGACCATCAAGAGTCAATAGGATGCACGCGCATAAAATTGCTCGCCTATAGGGGTGCAGCACTGCTATATGACTCGAGTTCATACCGCCGGTCGGGAAAACCGGTCATTGAGCCTAATCGTGTAATATTAATGTTAATAATGTTAATAATGGATAGAATGGTCCCTGATCTGTACATAATATTAGACAAGACATATCGAACTATGTCCTGTTGGGGCCTTTGATATCCCGGATGAAATTATTTAAACTTTCCAGGTCATCGGTTGCGGCGTTATCCAGGTATCGAAGGTTTACGTTCCGGCCACTGGCGCGGTCAAGCGTAGCAGTTAATAGCCACCAGAGCTCTTCAGCATGCTTAGGATAGCCCAAGTGGTGTATTCCTTCCTTACCAACGATGCTGGAGACGGAGTCCCAAATGCTTCGCCAATTTTCGGCGGCCCGTTTTATCGAGTTCGTGGATATCCACCCGAACAAGCCGGTCCTAGCCTGGAAAGCGAGAGAGTGCATTGCTAGAGACATAGTTAGGTCGATGGTATCGCTTGTAGACCGTGGACGGTTACACAAACCATAGATCAGAATCAACAGATGTTCGCCAACTAGTGAGCGACTCCATTGAATCAGGTCATCCGTAGCATTTTCATCAAGCAGGCGCGTAATGAACTCCCTTAATGAAGGTAGCGGGCGCCCCATCGTATAAGAAGCAGCCATCTCGTTAAAAGACGATGCATTTTCAGCTTCAAATAAAGCGGAACTCCAGGGGAATTGACAGTCCATCTCGAATATCGACAGTGCAGGATGATTATTGAAACAAACTGTGAGGAATCCGTCCGCAAGGAAGGCCCAACAGGCGATCCTAAAGATTGGTGAGAAGTGTCCAACATTGACGCTCTTCTAGTAGGGTCTTACCTTATACAGACTTCCTCGGCTATCAATGCTCTCCATGTCTCATCGTTACACATATCCGGAGTCAAACTTCTCTTGGACTGGAGAATCCCCAACGATCGTACCGTAGAGATGACACATGGATGTCTAATTATACGAATTCGTCGCCTTGTGCCCGTTTCGCCCTGTCCAAACTGAAGCATCTCGATTATTAAAGCTCCCTGAATGACTTCCAATGACGGTAGGAGATAGGGAGCGCTGCTCGGAAAGGGTGTTGATGATAAATTAGCCAACTGACGGAATATGTACTCCTCAGCTACGTCAAGTATTCTACTTGCGAATACCGGGCCATCTTGCGAGGTAGCATATGTTGCTCCAGCCAAGAATATTGCAAGGAGGAGAGGGTTTGAGACTTTTGCAGGATCGAATGTCGGAAAATGTACAATTGGAAGATGCCAATGAAGAGACTGGAAGAAAGCCGAGATAAACACAGAAAGATTGCAGGTCGTGAATAGTGAGTTTAGCTCGGCCATGTCGAGTTGGTTTTGTGGGCCCGCGTTCGCCAGGCCCATAGAATTCGAAGTATCGACCAGAATCATCATCATCTCGCTGAGTCTATTGGAGAGTCTTGAAGCAAATGTGCTTTCAGGAATAAACTCCATAGAAAGTTGTCCAATCGGGGTAGACAGAGGCTGAAGAAACAGATCAGCAACTGAAAAGCCTGGCATGTAAGCCGATAAAGAGTCGTGAGGCAAGAGTGGTTCTTCCTGCTGGAAGTAAATTGGGTCAAGATGCCTTCTAGTGGAGCATTTTGCTGTCTCTGCGATTGCAAGTCTGTCTTGCTTGATGGAGGGATCAGTGAAGTGTGCTAGGAAGAAGAATGGGTCGCTTCTTCTTTGCGGAATTTGCGAGACAGATGGTGATGGCGATGGGGACATTGAGGGAATGTTCTCCGTAGAAGGGGTCTGGGCCCCAAAGGAACATTGTTTCCCAAGGGATTGGCAACGAGAGCATGGTGATGCTCTGTCGCAGGCTGTCTTCGCAAAGAAGCATTCGTCACAGGACTGCTTCTTCCTCCCGGGTTTAGCTGCTACCGGAGGAGGCTGGTTGTGCTTTTTGGCACAGATCTTACTATGCCTTCGTGCAACCTCCCTAGACATGAATCAGATTTACATGGCTTCCTGCAGAGTTGTCTCGGGGTTTTTACACACTTCTTCAAGAAGGATTTATTGCAGTAAGGGCAGCTTGAACAGGAGGCGCCGGTATCTATCGGGCTGTCAGCACGTTCTGCGTACCTGAAAAGGCATGATGTTCAGGGGCCTGACGTGTTACTTCATGTCGAAGCAAATGACTCTTTCGCTGGTAGGATTTGTTGCATTGCGAGCACTGAAACATGATGCTATTGCCATTCTGTCACCTTCGCGGGTTAACAGGGGAAGTGGATGAAGATGGCTCGACTCGACTGATCTGGACTCCGAATGCTCCGACCGTGCCGCTTAGTAATTGTCCCAAGCCCTACCAGATCTTCATCTTCTCTATATTTTCTCCCACGTTCTTACTGGGAAATTGATGCTTTCTGGAGACGACTGGGATGTGATGGACTCCATGGAGTCGAATCAGTATCGTGGATCCAATGGCCGATGGCGTTCCTGTTTGTTGATCGTACAAACACCGTGACGTCCCCTTCCCACGTGGGGTCATGCGTTCCCCTCTTCAACCACTGACTTTAGCCATTATTCTTTCAATAACACGCTATCCATTGTTGGTTTCTTGTTAGTCCGGGGCTGTACCTTTTTTGGCATGACTCTCACTATGGTCTGATACTAGAATCCCCTTTCGGATACACCAGTGGGAGCAATGGATGGCACCTATGGAGGCCTGCCTGGACAGCACCTCTACCACTATCCCAGGTGTCCGTGAGAGAAAGGAAAAGAGAAGAATGAAGGATACCCAAAGAAAAAGACAGTCACGGCATTCGTGAGTATGCGGGGGTCCTAGTGCGGTAGCGAGAGGGGTCATAAGCCACTCATTGGACTATAAACTGCATTCCTGCATTCGCTATGCAATGTGTCGTGGAATTATCCCTGCCAGGGATGAGCTGCAGGCGACTCCGCACTGATCATCCCCGCGGGGAAATGGCAGGTTTCCATGGATTTAATCAACTGGGGAGGCTTCTTGTTTACTAAATGCTCCTTTCGCTTCGTGTTGATCTTGAAGCCTCTACTGCTTGTTCTCTATCGTGCGAGCTGTGACTATGCGCGTACCGAACCGGTTGTTGCTCCTGGCCTTAGGGGTGTCTGACCTTATTACCGCCGCACAAGTGGACTATTCTCAATATGTCAATCCTTTCATGGGATCGGAAGGCCCAACTCCCGGCCAAGGTTACGGAGGGGGTGACATCTTCGTTGGTGGTGCTCGACCCTTTGGAGTAGCAAAAGTGGGACTCGATACAACAGCCGCAAACTGGAGTATCGCAGTCCTCAACGGTGGCTGGACACCTGATGGAAACGTCACTGCAGTCAGTATGTTTGTATCTTCATAGCACTGTTGTGCATACTCGGATTTGTGTCTAACCTCAATCTACTAGCCATGATGCATGAAAGCGGCACAGGAGGTGCCCCCAAGTATGGTCTTATACCGCAAATGCCTCTTACCTCAGTTGACTCGCCGGTGAATCTACTAGATAACCTTACTTATAGCCAGCCCAGGGTAGGTATGCGCCTATCCTTGAAACTCAATGAATCCAGCTTACAGAAGATAGGTTGGCAACGACTCCGCAAGCGTTGGATATTTCCGGACCTTGCTTCAGAATGGTGTACAGATTGAACTTTCAGCCAGTCGTCATGCTGGTATCATTCAGTATTCTTTCCCTGACGGAGAAAAGCACGTTTTGGTCGATATATCCCACGTATGGCCATCCTTCCTCAGAGTAGATGAAAGCTAACACGGCTAAAGTATCTTCCCGGTTCACCCGGCGATTCAAATGGACAATTCTACGTTGGTGGTGAGATTAGTCTTGAAGACGATGGAAACGCATATAGCGGTTATGGAACATATGTCGGTGGCTGGAACAATGGTCCGCGTTTCCTCCATAGCACTGAGCATACATTCTAATGGTACTTTAAGGCGCCCCTTTTACCGTCTACTTCTACGGCGAGTTCTCTACGGCGCCGAAGAATGCTCGTACATTTACTGGGGCTAACACAGACCCGATGCCACGTTATCAGAACCTGGCAAACGGAGGCATACCTCAACCGACATATGGCAACACCTCTGATAAAGCGACATCAGGACCTATGAATGACCGCATCGGGGCACTTTTTAGTTGGGACACTGGAACAGATGCACAGATTAGTTCTCGGGTTGGGATATCTTTCATCTCAGCAGAAAAGGCTCGCTCATACATTACATCTGAAGTCCCTTCTTGGACGCTGAATGATACCGTGCAGGCTGCTGTTGACGAATGGAATCAGGATGTCTTCAGCAAAACTCAGGTATCCCTCGATAGCACGGCGAATATGACAAATGTGCGACTACTTTATAGTTCGCTCTACTTTATCCACTTGATGCCGTCCGATCGCACGGGTGAAAATCCGCTGTGGCAGTCAGACGAGCCTTTCTGGGATGATTTCTACACGCTTTGTTAGTGGTGAAATGCGTGCGACAATTGGAGAGTGGTACTGACTATAATCAGGGGATATATTCCGCTGCACAGTCAGCTTCTATCACGTCTATCAGCCCACATACTATGAGTCCATGATCCGGGGACTTATCGACATCTGGAGGTAGGCGGTAATCCGGTGGGAGATGAAAAGTTAGTGTAGTATCACAAGGCTAATGCCCAAAAGGCACCAAGGGTTCTTGCCAGACGGCCGCTCAGGGAACTGGAACGGACTGGTTCAAGGTGGCTCTGATGCGGACAACATGCTAGCAGATGCCTATGTTAAGGGTCTGCGAGGGGCAATCAATTGGACGGATGGCTACGCCGCAATGAAGACTAATGCAGAGGTTATTCCATACAACACTTGGGACGCTACTGATCTTTCTGCAAGTACAAAGGAGGGGCGTGGTGCCTTGGGTGACTGGTTAGAGCTTGGATATGTCTCGCAAGACCGAAACACGCGCTGCATTTCTAGGACCGTGGAGTATAGTCTCAACGACTTTGCTGTCAGCCAAGTGGCTGCAGGGGAAGAGCCTAGCGAACAGGAAAAGTATCTGAATCGGTCTGCTGGGTGGCAACATATTTGGAACTCAGATGTGCAGAGTCTGAATTTCACAGGTTTCTTGGCGCCGAAATTCTCCAACGGGTCGTTTAACAACAGCGGCTATGATCCTCGTTACTGCTATGGATGCGAATGGCTCGCGTATACGTATGAAGGCGTTCCCTGGGGTAAGTGACCATTCGCAATTTATGAATTGGTCTGACAAGTATGATGTTCCAGAATACTCTTTTGTGCTACCACATGACATGGAAACTCTGATCGACTATATGGGTGGTGCAGATACATTCGAATCCAGACTGGATCTTATGGTACTGACACAATTGACAACTCCTGGCACGCGTACAGCTAACGCTTCCTAGTTTGAGCCGAACATGTCAGTCCAGAACCTTGGAGCAAATGGTGCAGGTATTACAACGATCATAAACATTGGGTAGGCATATTTCCCTATAGCGATATAAGTGTGAAGACTGAGCAGTGATTGAAAGAAACGAGCCCGACTTTGCGACTCCATACCTGTACAACTACATCAACAAGCAAGCCAAGAGCGTGGAAAAGTCTCGGAACCTGGGATATCAGTAGTAAGTGGGCTGATATTCTCTAATACGCACCGTGGCTAAAATCAAATAGCTTCAGAGACGAAGCCTACGGAGTACCAGGAAACAGCGACGCCGGGGCCATGAACTCGTGGCTCTTGTGGCAGATGCTGGGGATCTATCCTGTCGTCACGCAACCAGTGTATCTTCTCTCCTCGCCCTGGTTCCCAGACCTCAACATGACGGTCAATGGCAACCAGACACTCCGTATCATCGCGAATGGACTAGACAAGGGCTACTATGTGCAAAGCGTGAAAATCAACGGACAAGCCTGGACAAAGAACTGGTTCGAGCACGAGGATGTAATGACCCAGGGTGGAACCATTGAATTTGAGCTAGGCGCGGACATGACGGCCTGGGATACTGGCAGTGTGCCTCCCTCACCGGGACATCGGAGCATATGAAGGACATATTGTGCCAGCTACATTACACAGTCTTAGCCAATAGCCACTACTGATGGAGAGTAATTCACATGCACACTGTGACCCAAGCAATTGACCAAGCGGCAAGATCTCATCCCTCGGTTTCCCCATTCAAAAATAGCCCCATAACTGTCCAATCGATAACTACTCTGACTACTTCCGCAAAATTCAAACCAAGAATTGCAACAATGACGCCGACAACCCTCACCAATCATCGCCATACCCCGCACCCTCAACACAAGGCACGTCAAACCCAATTAACTCTTCCACGGACACTCATTGGCAGAGTTCCACGCGTCGCAACAAAAAGTATCCAGAACAAGAATCCGGGCCGTGGTGGAACGGAAAATCGCTGCTTCATCTGGCATCGTCGGGACAAAGACGTGTGGTTGACGTCAACGGATAAGATTCCCGCACACAGAGTAGACAGACATCACCGATGCTGTGAGTAATTGTTATATGATGAAGTATCCCCCTCAATCTAACCAATTCAGCAAAACACATCTCATTGCATTTCTATCATTCTTTTTCTCCTTCAATTCAATTGACATTAATCCATTAATCTTATAACCATGGTACGTCCCATTCCATCCTCATCCATGGATGAATACCATACCGGACATAAAAAAGCGGGTCCCATCCGAACCAAGAAAACCAACAATTCCACCATATCTCTACCTACCATCTTATATCCAATATTTAACCACCAATCAATCACTAACACAACTCCAGGCCCCCGTAATAAACCTCCCTCTTCACCAAACCCGCAACGGCAATAATCTCCTCTCCCCCCGCGATAACCCCGACTGCCCCAACACCATCTCAGGCGGCGGCATCGCGGGCATTGTCCTCGGCACCATCGCAGGCACACTACTCATCCTGTGGCTATGGCATCTGTGTTCCCTACCAGGGGCCAGTTCAAGCGGAGGGTCGGATTACGGCGAGGCGAACTTAGCGACATCGACAACGCGGAGAAGGCGGCGACGCCATAGTAGTCCGACAGTTTATTATCTTGAGAAGCATCCGTCTGGGCATGGTGGTGGGAGCTCCGTGAGGAGGCCGACGAAGGTGTATCTTTCTTAATTATTGGGTGGGTTATATGTGGGTGTTTACTAGCTTGGGTCTTGGTATGGAATGGAGTGGGAGGCTGTGTCTTGTTTATGTAGTATAATGATTTATGATTATGGAATTATGTGATCTATTGAAGTAATAGTCTTTCTTTGCGGGTTTGTTTGCTTGTTTGTAGTGTGTTCGAAGTGAGTTAGTGTATAGGATAGCGATGCTTGAGAGATGGAAGAAGTAATCCAGAGCCATGTGGCTCATGATAAGAAAATAGCAGAGGCAGAAAGTGTATTTTAAAAGTGAGCAGATTACCCAAAGAGTAGACATTCATTCCGGGAACGGGCAAAGAGCATTTTCTCGAATTGATCCGGGCCAACATGCACCTTTGTTATAGGACTGGAACATGACTTGAATATAGGAAGAATCAGGTAGAAATAAGTCAATGGCATGAGAATTAAATAACCTTGAACTTAGGAGATAGTTATACACTGAAGAAGTACAAGCTGACCGCTATCTGAGATCTAAAGGAGTATCTAAACTCGCTATTATGTACATTCTATATTAAGACCGAATCAATATTTTTGTTGGTTTTACTTTACTTTGAATATACTGTAGTATTGAACCATGTTTCACCAGATCAATTTGCTGTTAAATATTGATCGATTAGAACTGGTGGGATGCTATTCAAAATGGTGCTAATCGATAAACTGACTAATAAGATCAACCTTATTCTATCAAAATAATATTTCTTAATATGAAATTATTATACCCAGATAGCCAGGAACAGCAGACTGGTATGAATCATGTACCTGATACTACTTATTTTCATACAATATTGTTCTGGGATGGTCTCAGTACATGAATGATGAAAGCTGTATGGAGTTTTAGTGAACAAGCCACCAAGACATCATGGTGGAATATAAGGAGGCCGGCGAGATTGTTGGAGCATCCAGCGCAAATCCACCATGTGGTGGAAGGCCGAGCCTATCTTGCGAATACAATTAGTGGCCAGTTTAGACGGAGATAAGGCAGGGGGCAACGGTGGTATTTCGAAGGAGCTGCAACCCCTAAGTTATCGGGACGCTCCAATCAGTTTGCAGTCAGAATCGACAATGTAGTATTACATCGTAAGCCCCAACACCCAATCATTGCTAGTTGGCAAAAAACCCCGCTTCTCAGGCGTCTGGTCATTTCAGCACGCTCCCAAGAGGCTGTCGCCCAATCTATTAAGAGGTAGAAGAAAGACAATCAATCCGTTTGCTTCTCATTTCCAAGCTAACAACCGGAGCTGTAATTTCCGCTGTATTCTCCGCTCTATTCAATGATGGCCTCGAAGGTGTCTGTCCTCTCAAACAAAACTCTGCGAGATTATCGAAGCGCAATCCACCAGCACAATGACAAGTTCATCAAAGACATCCCCAAAGTCGAAATGCATGTCCATATCGAGGGCACAATGACCCCTGAACTCCGGTGGGAGCTCGCGCAACGGCGCGGGGAGTCGGTTCTCAATATCAATACCCAGCAGCCTTGCGAGAGTTTGTCGGAACTGAAGGGTACGTACGAGCTCCTCAATGACCTGGAAGAAGGGGGTGTAGATGGTGGAATGCATCGGTTCTTTGAACTGTATTACGGTGGCTTCAGTGTCCTTCAGGATGAAGAAGATTTCTATTGTCTTGCAATGAACTACTTCAGAAAGGCAGCATCCATGAACGTACGTTATTGTGAGCCGTTCTTTGACCCGCAGGGTCACACACGAAGAGGTGTGTCTTTTGAGACAATGATGAATGGATTCAAGAGGGCGCAGAGTGAGGCCTCTCAAAGTCTTGGGGTAGGTGGCCTAGACTCTCTATATACTATTCTATGATCTCTGGCTCAAAATCGTTATAGGTCCACTCTCAGTGGATAATGTGCATGCTGCGAGATATGTCCCCCGAGTCTGCTATGGAGCATTATCTTCAGGCACTACCATATCGCGACATGATCGTTGGAATTGGTCTGGACTCCCTAGAGGTGGACCGTCCGCCATTGCTCTTTGAAGATGTTTTTCTCCGCGCTCGCAGAGATGGCTTTCGGATTACCTGCCATTGCGACGTCGGCGATAAGGATACACTGAGGAATATTGGACAAGTGGTTGACCAGCTGGGAGGAAGCGGAGCGGACAGAATTGATCATGGTTTACATGCCGCCGATGATTCATCTCTTCTTCAGAGGGTCAAAGAAAAGGACCTTGGAATGACCATCTGTCCTTGGGGCTATCTTTGCTACTCCGGAGAAGCTCAGATTATTGATCGGGTTCGCACATTATACAACGCTGGCATCAAAATAGCGATTGGCAGTGATGACCCGTCATATATGGAAGATATTTGGCTAAACAATAGCCTCTATCTCCTTCGTTTACTAGGCAATTTCACTGATGCTGAGTTCTTCCAGCTACAGCGGAATGCCATTGATATTTGTTGGGCCCCTGCTGATATTAAAACAGCGATCCTGAAGGAACTCGAGGGGTTTTGGCCGAAGGAAGGAGCGGAACATGGCAGCCATGCAGATTAGCTGGAGAGAATGTGTTGCACTAGCCTGACAATATGATCATGTCCTTTCCATTTGTCTACTACCTATCTCCGGCAGGTAAATGCACTCCAGCCATTCCGGGCCCACATACAAAGTTGGCAGGGCTACGGATAGACACAAGGCGTGTAATTGAAGCATAATGTGCTATTGAATCACTTGAAACCTCGGAGATCTCTTCTGCTATTCTGTTACGTCACCGCCAGCGATCAATTAACTATGAGGCAGAAACCCGGGCAGGCTTGTTGATAATGGAATTGCACTGGAAGAAGTTAATTGGCCAGCGACCGACAACATTTAAGGTTTAGTACTTTTAGTGAGCACAATCTGTCGGAAGCCCCGGATTTTAGATTTGTTCTCCGGCCCTCGAAATACCGCCCATCCCCAACCCAACACTCGCTCGCCTCTTTCTCACTTGCAGCCCCAAGAGAGGTTCAGCCTCCCGCCGCTTGGGTTATAGGCTTTAAGCGCCCCAATAACCTCGCCCACCTCCTTACATTCCACCATAATATCTTTATTCGCCGGCCCAATAAATCCCCGTTGAGCAGCCTTAGCAATCCACGCGACAAGACCATCCCAAAACCCATTAACGTTCAACAACACAATTCCTCTATCATGAATCCCCAGTTGGTTCCACGTTATAACCTCTGCCACTTCCTCCAGGGTCCCATAACCGCCCGGAAGGGCTACAAATCCTGACCCAGGGCCACCGGCGAGAACTTGCTCGGCCATTTTCTGTTTTCGCTCATGCATGCTGTCCACGATGGTGATCCTCCCGTATTCGCCCTCAGCCAGCGAAGACCCTGGAGCTTGGATTCGCTCTGGTTGTTTCCCGTCATTCTGGGACTTGCCGACGTCCGCATCGGGATAGTATGCTACCAATGCCCGGGGTATGAAGCCATGCACGGCAGATGGGCCAGAGAGTGATACTAGAGTCTTCGCGACCTCGCCCATCAATCCTTTCGTTCCACCTCCGTAGACTAGTTTCGCGTTTGCGGCGTGTAGTTCATGTGCAAGTGCTCGAGCGGCCGCCAGGTACTCGGGAGAATCGCCGGGCTGCGCGCCACAACTGAATGGGAGAGTTAGTTCGCTGATTATATAACCTCAGGGAACTGGTGTTGACCCATTATTGTTCACCGTCGTAGGTGGGATGCTCATCAATACTGGGGATATCACTTACAAAACGCATATGACGGGCTGCTCTTCGTCCCGGTCGCTAGGCATATTGTCAGATTTGGAAGTTGGCAAGAACTAGGGTATTCGGAAGCGTGTAAGAGTGCCGCAGTGCTTCGAAATCAGGATAAAACTGCAGTCAATTTAAAGCTATCGAAAAGTAATGTTTGGGAGTCTAGGACTGAATCTGGAGGTGGGCCAGTTACGTTACGCCGATGGTATCCGGTCTATTTCTTGACCCGCTTGCCTCTGACTCACCCGTTCGAACCATCTTAGATAGTTACCTCGTTCTGTCTGGCCTTGATGGAGTGGGCACTAGCTAAAATGCGTTAATTAGAATAGGAGGGCGGGCAAGTTTCTACAAATTACCATTGCATGTCTGTAGATAGACGATGTGCTTACCAACGAGCGTCTGATAATGCGGCTGACGGTCTTGTTGTGGTGCTCTACTGCAACTACATGGGCAAATCCGTACTGAGATTTTACGTCGTTAATTCAGATCTTTCTTTGGTGTGTGTGTGTGATAAGGCCTGAAGCTGTATATTCTTTTTTCTCCGCTAGCTAAGCGCGGAGATGCCAAATAAAGGACTTTCTTGCCGCAAGTATGTAGATGTCGATGATGTGACTCGTTGTCTGTCCCCAGGCAACCCTTTTACTGCATCATCAACTATTTCAAAGGTGCCACTTGTGGCATAAGAGGAAATTGACGCAATAGCTCTCTTCTAAGCCCGTCATTATGCCGAGCGCCAGACAGTAACCTCTGAGCAACGGGTGCGCAGCCTGCACTGGCAGCCACGCACAAGAGCTCGAGCCCCCACTGCTGCTGAACCATTTGATCCGTCGCGAGGTCAATCAATGCAAAAGCATCATCCCAGTCAGGTCGAGATACACTTGATTCACGCCACCTGCGGATAATCAGTCGGAAAAAGTCCAGGTTTCGTAGCTGATGACCAAGTCTCGGATCCAGAAAAAGTGTGCCGAGCCTGGACATGTCTCCCCATTGCAGAATTTGGTCTGCCGCGTTTATAGCCGTCATGTTAAGGAAATTGTTATTGTCAAAATCCGAACCTCTCAGCATAGCATGCAGCATATCCACAGAGCCATAAAGGCAGGTGATACTGAGGGGATCATACAGCTGGCTGTCGAATGGAAATCTGGGTGGCATTGCACAGCCCGGACGGCGGTTTTGTTGAGTCCAATTGCGAATTCGGATCGAATTGGCTCGGCACAACTTTTCTATGCTCGCTAGGTTGGGAAGGGCCTCAGCCGTGACGAGAGTATAATATTTCAGCCAGTAGCATGATGCGTAGACAAAGAACTCGCCCAGTCCGAGCTCAGCCGGATTGAACTGAATCATATCTTCTTCCCAAGCTTCCCACGAGCAATGAGAGTCGTACTTGACCGGCTCCTTCTCATCATTGAACAAGTCAGACTCTTGTGGAAGCTCCGATATTGCAATCTGCTCTTCAGAGAACAGGTATTGGTCGTCAATTTCAGTCAAAAGGAGATAACGGATACATATATCCAATATCAATGCCTCTGGACCACCAAAGCGCTGGCCATCGTCTCTCTCGGAAGCTGGACTTCCTGAATACGTGGCATTGGGCTCCCAACGCCTCAGAATCAACTCTTTCATTGACTGATATATGAGCTGAACTTGATACCTTCTCAAGTTGCTAGGCTCAACGCATGCGATGAAGGGTTGAATCAGGCTCATAAGCTTTTGGTGGTCCACTAGCTTGGAAAGGTCGTCAACGGTGGTAACATGGCGGGCTGTATGCAGGGTGACGGCCCAGGACAACTCCAGGATGCTAAAAGGTCTGTGGGTAACGGCGAGAAGCTTCAAAGCTGTGATGGTGAGCTCCCAGTCCTTATGCTCGTTGGAAGCACGGCGAGAAAGGAGTGTATTGTAGAGTCCCGAGAGCTTGTCGGGGACCGGTTTATTATCCATCTTAGAATATAGGAACAACTGTCTGCTGAAATAAAATACACCAGATCTTAATATTTACCGATAAATAAAGAAATTCCCTTCCACAGTAGTTCTAAAATTGGCGCTATGTCGCAAGGTGTTAGAGCTCGAAGTAGTTATAGCCGTGTGTCCAACGGCTCTAAGATCTCTTCCTGAAGAGCGTAAACAAGAAAAGTCGAAAGAACTGGGAACTGGGTTAGAAGCGCTTTTACATATATCCTGATTCTCAAATATTTAAATACTAGTCGACTGGTTGCTTCGAGAATTAGTACTTTCGAAGTTCGCTTCTTTGTTTACGTGTGCCAGAAGCTTGCGCCCGTCTATACCGCTCGACAAAGGGGATTTTTGTACTTGAGAACCATGTTCAAAGCAGATAATATGGCCATGGATATCGATGTCTTATCTCCATGGAAACAATGACAGTAAAAGCCTTGGGCCGAAGCGACTGATGCTCATATCTTTTGCTCGGCTCGAATTTCTGTAGATGAACATAGTATTGAGTTTGGCAGCACGTTCTGCCGCAACCTATCCATCAGCCTGGAGACTAAGAAAAGCTAAGTAGAAGAAATTGAAATAATAGTAGAAAAAAAGAGAAAAAAAAAATATCATGTTTCGTTGATCGATTTTTCTCCGTAAGATAAATCTGTTCTCCAGGATTCTCCAGGATCTAGATGCATCCAGTGGGACCGATGCAACCATGGAATCCAGGGAAGCAATCCCATGGGCTGGGAATTCCCGGAAAGAAGCAGAGCATTGAACATCCCCCGCTTCCGCAAGTCACATGGTCTCGATCCTTTGTACTATAGTCAGGGAAGTAGAGACTTGTCTATCGACCCATGTCCTCCGGTTTTCAAATGGCAGACTATGGCAAGCGGGGAGTCGTTGTTTGGCTAACATCTACCAGTGAGTCGCAGAGTGTGGTATATCCCCAAGTGAAGAATTAGCAAATTGTGAGTCGCCAGAATTCATTGCCACGACGTCATACTACCTTGTGGCTATGCTCATGAACCCAGATCAACACTCCGACGCTAAACTTTTCTTTGTCCAGCTTAATAAAGAAGGATTTGGATTGAAGACAGCTGCTGAATAGCTTCACTCACCTACCATAGTCGCTTGATAATTTTACACCATGTCCTGTTCAGGTATCGCAAACACGCCGACAATGCCAGCATCGACATTGTCTCTCGGTTTCTTGGATTTGCCTCTCAGGATTCGCAACATCATATACAATCATGCACTCGTCATACCCCATCCACTTCATATTTTCCAGGACCCAGGTTGTTCATTGGAGGTTTTTGCACCCGAAAGGCCCTGTTCATGGCTTGCATTGACCTACGTCAATCGGCAAATATCAGATGAGACCAGGAAGATTCTGTATAGTATGAATTGGTTTATCTTCCAGGAGATGGAGACGGCCCGGCGTCAAGGCACTCTCCTAGAATCCTTCTTGATCTGTATCGGTTCCTCAAATTCTCGGCTTCTGTCCCATCTATGTATCAACTTTCCGGCCATCGAGAGGTTACCGGGCCTTTCTTCAGAAGCAAGGCTCACAGAGGATGGCTTGCGGAGATTGCAGCTTCTACGACAAAGCTGTACCGGTTTGAAGACATTGGAGATACTCATTTTTGGCCAATTTGCCAACATTCTGGTCGCAGATCACCAGCTAATTGATAAATCCTTTCGAAATATAATTCTGGAGGTCGATACGCAGATAAGAGGAATAACTCCCCTGGAGGCTATTGTTGTCAGAATAGTATATCCTCGCGGAACTCCAGCCGTAGTACGAGGATATTTACAAGGGCTTGGGTGGATCGTCAAGTTTGGCAACGCTTGATGTCTTTTCTTACATCATACAGAATGGGTGAAATGGAACACAGCCGCAATCATAATCTACCAAACACTCAGTTCTTGCGAAGCTCCCTCGTCAATTGCTTGAAACTAATGGCGGATTTACTCCGTACTTTGGACTGTCAGCAGTGAACGGGCGCTAAGCCCGAAAAAAGGGGCCTGGAATTTTTCCCACTGGTCATGGGCCGACTATCTCCTGAATGAGGTACAACAGTCTACCAACTACACGGGCAGACGGGACAGCACATAACTCCCCTGATGATGATGTCCAATAATATACGGGGACAGGCTCCCTCTTTGGAGTTCGGCATCTTGGCCTCGCGCTCATCCGAACGGCTGTTGGCAGTGGGTAAAAGAATGCTTGGCAAACCCGAAACTGCACACTCTGCATAAGCTGGGAGGTAGGTAGGTAGCGGTCTGCAACCTCACCTTGAAATCGCTCCGCCTATCTACATTTTCTGCCTCTGCAGCACTGAGACCTCCTGCTGATCCTCATATCTTAATCTTTGTAGGGTGAAGAATCATAGTTCATGGGCCTATCATATCCACAAGGAGGCGAACCTTGCGGGAGGTTGCGGTGTCTCTAGTGGCTCCTGACTCCAAAATTACCACCCCATTTAACGGACATAAAATTTGCCGCAGCGGTGTCCACTGTTCAGTGGCATCCACCAAGCCACTGCCACAGCACTGGCCTTGTGCTGAGACCTTCCCCAGCCGGCCCCGCCACTAGCAATTCGCCTGCTGAGACTGCCTTTGGCTTCGACAGGCCAAGGGTCTTGGCCAGGTGTAGGATGTTGGTGCCTGGGATGCCTCCGAAGCAAGGTCGATTTGTTCCATCGTGTGAAAGGAGAGTGTTGGGAGCAGCCGGTTTACACGATGGGTGTCAGTTGGATGGATTATTCCTAGGACCCTTCCCCAAATATCACACAGTGGCAACTGTTATCTCTGGCCGGATCAAATCAGACTAACCCATAACTCATTTAATCTTCAGGAAGATCCAACGACCCTCCCCTGAGCTGATTGGATTTGGGTGCCTGAGCGTTGCTTATCGCCCATCTCGGCAGGGTCTTGGCGGGTACAAGCGACCCTTTCCAGAACAGGCTAGCGTCAGGGTCAGGGACCACGCTAGTGGCCAATTCAGGGTGGATTGGCAGTCCGCTAGACCAGATACAGTTTAGCCATGCCCTCTTGGTCGGGCAGTTTCCTGTTTCAAATGTGCCCCTTAATGTTTAGGGCCAAACTAGTGACATCCAATGCAGGGAAAGAAAAGAGAGACATGCTGGTTTAAAAATAAGCACGACTCGGATATTAGTTATGAGGGGACAAAAAAAAGGGAAAGCGAAGTGTTTGCCAACGCCCAAGAGTGGGTGGGATGCCATGGCCTTATTTTAATTAAAAGGAAAACAGTCATACCCTCTCGTTCTTCTCCTCTCCTGTCGTTCGTTCTCCTCCGCTTCATCTCGTTCCTATCCTCCTCCTGCTCCCCTTCGTTCCCTTGCCGGTGGGCATCAAACACACCTCGTGCGATTTGATCGCACTGCCATTCATTCAACAATCGTCACTCTTTTTCTCGTGGGGAGCCATCGGTTATTCGACACCTCCGCTATAGGGTTCATTCTCTTTTTCCAGATCCCTCTATCGCGTCTTATCACATCCGAGAGCGGTGTTTGACTCGCAATCTGACCCCAACTCGCTCCGTTCATTACAACAAAACCTCTACCGGGGAGTGGTGACCCTGGACAACACTACTTGCCATCATGTCACTCTTTCATATCTTGGCGCTGCTGGTAGCCAGTCTTAGTCTGGTAACCGCTCAGACTTTCACCAACTGTAACCCTCTCAACGAGACATGTCCCGCAGACGCAGCTTTAGGTACCAACCACACCTGGTATTTCAACACCACCGTCGATGACACGATCTGGAATGTCACCAACGGCAATATTGGCATCACGGATGAGGGTGCGGAATTTTCTATCGCCCAAAAGATGGATTCGCCCACCATGCAATCTAATTTCTTCATCTTCTTTGGCATTGTCGAGTCCCACGTTAAAATGGCCAAGGGTGGTGGCGTAGTGAGCAGTGTAGTGCTCCAATCGGATGACTTGGACGAGATTGACTGGGAGTGGGTGGGATACAACACCAGTGAGGTACAATCCAACTATTTCGGCAAGGGTAACGACACATCTTTCGACCGGGGTGGCTTCCACTACGTTCCTAACGCCGACACGGAATTCCACAACTATACCACCTACTGGACGAGTGAAAAAGTCGAGTGGTGGATTGACCAGCAATTGGTACGCACACTGAAGTATGAAGATGCTGTGGGCGGCAAGAACTTCCCCCAGACCCCCAGCAACATTCGCTTTGGAATTTGGCCTGCCGGCGATCCCAGTCAGCCTCACGGTACCATTGTATGGGCGGGTGGTGAAATTGATTACTCGGCTGGCCCGTACACCATGGTAGTTCAAAAGGTTCGCGTGCATGATTTCCATACCGGCAAGGAGTATTCATACTCGGACCATTCCGGGTCTTGGGAGAGCATCAAGGTCGTTTCGTAAGTCTTCCCATAGCCAGCTTCTCTCCCCTAAACCATGTCTACAATGCTGACTCTCGAATCTCAGGGGTAATTCAACCACCGTGGAGCAGCTCAACAAGCCTCCTCCGAAATCACTTTCTGAGAGATGGAACGAGCTACCAAGTGGCGCAAAGGCTGGCATTGGCATTGGCATAGCAGCTGTTGGAGCTAGTTGTCTTGCCGGTTTCATCTTCTTCTGTTTGAAGCAGCGCAAGAGGGGCCGTCTCGAACATGCCCTGAACGATGCCCAGTGGAATTCCGAAAGGACGGAAATGAACAACTTCCAAGCCGAGTGGAAACAAAGCGAATGGAAACATAAGGGCTACCAGCCAGTCTCCTAGCTGGCTGAAGTATCCAAATTTAAAAGACCTTAGTGTCCATGACGAAAACGATGACTCCAACCTTTGTTCCAGGGGTGCCTTCGTGCCTCTTTCCGTGGGGATTCGTATTTTGTTTCTCCATGCCCATCATACCAACGCGGCGAGCAATATATACCAGCGCCTGCTTTGCTGGCCAAGGTCGCGCTGGAGTTGTTCTTGAATCACTTTGAGTGAGCACCTCGATGGAGTGAGAGGCGCACCATCCTATTTTTCCACATTTATTCTTGATCTTGTTTATATTGTTCCTACCCTTTTCTCCAGTCCTATGGCCCTAGGACGAGCGTCCCTCTCCTCTTGTATATATACCAACTTGCATTCAAACGGTTTCTTTTCTGGGCCATACAGATTATTGTGTCTTAACATTTGGGAGGGGTCAGCTAGGCACTTTGACTGATAACTTCAAGAGGGCTGTCAGTCTAACTATTGCAGTATGATTCTTCTATCAATGTAACGGACCGAGAGTAATATCACGGTCGGTTGCGTCCTGTAGCGCGCCTAACGACTATCTACGGTGCTCTCCTAAAACCAACCATGGGTGTCATATCTGCGCTTTTGCATGTGAGACGTCTTCAGCACGGTTGACAGTCCTCGAGAATGAAAGATAAGGTTGAGAAATAGAAACTAGGACCAAGCCGGAGATTTGATGACGCAACGATGCTTATGAGTGAGATTGGATAAGAAGAAAAGACAAAAAAAAAAAAAAAGCTCTCACACAATCCGTCAAATGGCAAAAAGGAAAGAACGATCCCGGTGCGACTCGAACGCACAACCTCTAGTACCGGAAACTAATGCGCTACCATTGCGCCACGAGACCAGTTCGATGGAAAAGTGGGGTCGGTGTTGGCCTATCATACGCACAAAACCACACCTTATCCACCAAATCGGATAAGCGGCATGACGGAGAGGATCCATGGATCGATGCTTCTACTATCTACTTCTGGCATCGGTCCGTGATCACCGAGCCCCGAGTCCGATTTACCGGTGGACGGATCATATGCATTCCGTTGCTAATCACAAGTCCAGCCACAGTTATGAATAGTAAACCTTCATCTCTCGCTGGCCGGGGCTCCCACTAGTGCTTACAGGCCGAGGTACATGCGCTGAGTTTTGATTACGATCTGGTACTCTGGACTCATTGATCTACAAAGGACCATGATCCACTCTCATCAGCCCCATGACGTTCGCCTCTATGATTGTCCTGGTATGCACTCGGACGGCCTTCTGACTGGGGAATCCCTTCCGCATATGATGGCGTGGAGTGATGACGCTCCATTTGCAGTGGACTCATGCACCATCATCGGGAATGCGACCCCTCCGACCGCAGCGTTCTGAGAATTCACGGAGTATAAAGTCTCCTTCCTGCATTGATCTGTTCACCATTTCATTCATCGAAGTGTGACCGTCAGGTGATCTATGGTCGCTGAGAGAAATTCAAATCCCGTGTTGTTCCACCGGACCTTGTGAGAACTAGACACATACACTGTCAACAATTCAAGTTCAATCGGCACCAATTCATATTGATATACCATCATGGGCAGCGTAAAGCCTGTTCCTATCCCAGGCCCCAAGGGCGTTCCATTTCTTGGAAATGTCTACGATATTGACCAAGAGATGCCAGTCCGAAGTTTTGAGTTGATGGCAGATCAATATGGTAACCCCGCCCTTACCCCTCCACGATTTCCTGTGTGCTTTTTTGACCCCTTTTGATCCCACCGTAAAGGATCAGTAGCTTTTGCTCTTTCCCTTCCCCATTGAGAGTATTATGTATGCTAACTGTGATGTATCGGTCAAGGCCCGATCTACCGACTGACAACTTTTGGCTTGTCGAGAGTAGTCGTTTTTACTCAAGAACTCGTCGACGAAGTATGCAATGAGGAGCGATTCGCTAAATCGGTGGATGGGGGTTTGGGCCAACTTCGGAATCTCCTCCACGATGGTTTATTCACGGCTCGGTACCCCGGCGAGGAGAACTGGGCGCTTGCGCACCGTGTCCTTATTCCTGCTTTTGGGCCCCTGTCTATCAGAGGCATGTTCGATGGTAAGCAATCCATCACCATCCAATCCCTATCGCACCGGACTAATGAGTTATCACTCTGCCACAGAGATGCAAGATATAGCCAACCAGCTCGTCATGAAATGGGCTCGACAGGGACCTGAGACTCCTATTGTGGTCACAGAAGATTTCACCCGCCTGACTCTTGACTCCATCGCCCTCTGCGCTATGGGAACCCGCTTCAACTCCTTCTACCACGATAGCATGCACCCCTTCGTCGAGGCGATGGTTGGTGGGATGCAGGTAGCTAGCTATAGGGCACAGCGCCCATCGTTCTTGAACCAACTGCCCACAAGCGAAAATAATGCTTTCTGGAACGATATTTCTTATATGAGAAACTTAGCGAAGGAGTTGACCGAAGATAGGAGAAAGCATCCATCAGACAAGAAGGACCTGCTCAACGCTCTCATCCTTGGCCGAGACCCTCAGTCAGGGAAGGGCCTCAGTGATGAGTCGATCATTGACAACATGATCACCTTTTTGATTGCAGGTAAGTACTTTGTCTTAGTTGGGTCGTTATTATCTATCATGTTTTGACGCTTTTTTCCTATAGGCCACGAAACCACTTCTGGAATGCTGTCGTTCGTTTTCTACTATCTACTAAAAAACGCACATGCGTATAAAAAGGCACAGGAAGAAGTCGACAGGGTGATTGGCCGACGGAAGATCACCGTGGATGATCTCTCCAAGTTGCCGTATATCAATGCAGTCATGCGAGAGGCGCTACGCCTCAACCCGCCAGCGAGTGTCATGAGAGTCCATGCGCATCCGACTAAGAACAAAGAAGACCCTGTGACCTTGGGTAATGGAAGATATGTTCTGAACAAGGACGAGCCAATCACGGTTCTCCTCCCGAAATTACACCGTGATCCCAAGGTCTACGGTGCGGATGCCGAGGAGTTCAAGCCGGAGAGGATGCTAGATGAAAATTTCAACAGTCTCCCTCGAAATTCCTGGAAGCCCTTTGGGAATGGCATGCGAGGCTGTATTGGGCGGCCATTTGCCTGGCAAGAAGGCTTACTGGCTATTGCTTTGCTGTTGCAGAATTTCAACTTCCAGCTGGATGATCCAAGCTATGACCTGCGCATCAAACAGACACTCACCATCAAGCCAAAGGACTTCAAGATGAGAGCAACTCTCAGGCATGGGTTGGACCCAATAACTTTGGAGCCTGCTCTGAACAGTGGTTCTGTGCCTCGTGAATCTTCCACGGTAGCTAGCAGGGAACGTAAGAAGGATGCAGCCCTTTCCGAGGGAGACATGAAGCCGATGCACATATTCTTTGGCAGTAATACTGGAACCTGCGAGGCTTTGGCTCGGAGACTGGCAGATGATGCTGTCGCATGGGGATTTAGTGCCAAAGTCAATTCGCTAGATTCCGCCACTGAGAATGTTCCGAAAGGGGATCCGGTGGTTTTCATTGCTGCATCTTACGAAGGTCAACCGGCTGATAATGCGGCTCATTTTTTCGAGTGGCTTAGCGCAGCAAAGGATAATGAACTCGAAGGGATAAATTATGCCGTATTCGGTTGTGGACATCGTGAGTCTCCCATTTCACTCATGTGTGTTCTTATGTGTGTGACTTCGCTGCTCACTAAATTTTTAAGACGATTGGACAGCCACATTTTACCGGATCCCCAAGGCTATTAACGAGCTGGTGAAAGAGCATGGTGGGAATCGCTTGTGTGATATTGGATTAGTTGATACCGCCATTGCAGACATGTTCACTGATTTCGATAACTGGAGTGAGTCGGCATTATGGCCTGCCATAAGCTCGAAATTTGGCTCCAAAAGTCAGGGCCAGGCTGGTAAAAAAGCCAGTTCAGGCCTACAAGTCGAACTCAGCTCAGAAAAGCGAGTGACTACCTTGGGCCTTCAGTTGCAGGAAGGATATGTGATCGAGAACAAGCTCCTAACAGCACCCGACGTTTCAGCGAAACGACTGGTGAGAATCAAGCTTCCAAGCGATATGACCTACCAGTGCGGTGATTACCTTGCTGTGCTTCCCGTGAACCCAACTAGCATCGTCCGTCGAGCAATGCGTCGGTTCAAACTGCCTTGGGATGCCTTTTTGACTGTTCGCAAGTCATCCCAGACCCAAAATGGACCGTCAGCCATTCCCACTGACACCCCCATTTCCGCCTTCGCACTCTTCTCCTCCTACGTTGAACTATCCCAGCCCGCGTCCAAACGAGACCTGACTGCCCTGGCAGATGCAGCCGTGGCCGACGAAGAATCCCAGGCCGAGCTGCGATACATGGCCAACAGTCCTAGCCGCTTCAATGAGGAGGTCGTCACAAAACACCTCAGCTTGCTGGACATCTTGGATCGTTATCCTTCTATCGGTCTACCGCTCGGCGACTTCCTAGCTATGCTCCCGCCCATGCGAGTACGCCAGTACTCTATATCATCCTCACCCCTTACGGACCCGACAGAATGCTCTATTACAGTGTCCGTGCTCAACGCACCCTCTCTCTCCGGCACAGACGAGCCGTACATGGGCGTAGCTTCTACATACCTTTCCATTCTCCAACCTGACGAACGCATTCACATCGCCGTCCGCCCGTCCCACTCCGGCTTCAAACCTCCCGCAGACCTCAATACGCCAATGATAATGGCCTGCGCAGGAAGCGGCTTAGGGCCTTTCCGCGGATTTGTCATGGACCGGGCAGAAAAGATTCTCAGCCGAAGCGACTCTATCACTGAAAAGCCCGCCCCGGCTATCCTCTACGTCGGCTGTCGCACCAAAGGGAAGGATGACATTCACGCAGAAGAGCTCGCTGAATGGTCTCGCCAGGGCATCGTCGACGTCAGGTGGGCATACAGCCGGCCCTCTGACGGCTCCGTTGCCCAGCACATTCAGGACCGGATTACAAGTGATCGCGACGAAGTGGTCTCACTTTTTGAGCAAGGCGCTAGGATCTATGTGTGTGGAAGTGCGGAGGTAGGCAAAGCGGTGCGCCAAGCGTTTAAGAACATTTACGTCGATGTGAAACAGGAGCGTCGTCGGGTAGCGTTGGAGACGAAGCAGGAAGAAGTCCCGTCTGAAGTGAATGACGAGGATGTTGAGAAGTTCTTCGATGATCTCAAGGCAGGCATGCGTTATGCGACGGACGTGTTTACTTAGATACGCTTCGAGAATTGCATGCCTATGTCTAGTGCCTTGCTAGTTTCTGGATAGTCTTTCATTTCTCATTATTTAAAAAATCAGAACGCACCCCACTATTTTGCTTTTTTTTTTGGTTAAGATAACCTATTCATATTCATAGTTAATGTCTGAGAAATACTAGATTGCCGAAGTGCCTAATGCCTAATCAGTTATGACTGCTAAACGTCACCTACCCGACAGCTAGGGACGTTGCTACTGCCCCACCTTGGCTACTCTCTCCTAACCCCACCCAAGATATAGCGAAACAACCAAAATAAATCACATAGGCTATCCTCCTACAGTAAACCTACATCAATAACTACATCCATAAACGAGCGACTAACCGTCTCATTGACAGTCTAGGTACAGCACAACTACCCCAACTAAGAGCCAAACACCAAAATTCATATCCTCATAATCCTGACCAGCAAGCATGACATAACCACATCCACGCATAACTACAACTCAAATCCTCCACCATTCATCCATCCAGTCACTTTGACCCATTTGTTATAGGACCAAGTAGTCTACGATCCCATATATTCCATCCTAAGCCATAAACTGCTTGAACGAAGACGGCGCAGTAGGCACAGCACCACTAGTAGGAATAGCAGAGCTAGTAGGGATAGCCGAGCTAGACGAAGGTGCAGGGATGTTCAGACCACCGGGCGAGAAAGCCAAAGGAGTCGGGAGACTGACGGAGGGCTCGGACTCGGACGCAGAGGAAGAAGAGTCGCTGGAGTCGGAGGAGCTGCTGCCGGCAGGCTCGGGGAGGCTGATGCTGGGGAAGGCACCGCTTGGCTGAGCGGAGCTGGAGGAGTCAGAGGAAGAGGAAGAGCCGCCGAAGGGGTTCGGGAAGCCGCCGGAGGGTTGGCTGGGAGCAGCAGCGCCGCTAGAAGGTTGGGGTTGAGAGGAGCCACCGAATGGGTTGCTGCCACCGCTGGGCAGGGAGGGGCTGGAGGAGTCTCCCGCAGACGAGGAGCTGCTGGAGCCGCCGCCGAGGAAGGGCTTCAGGAAGTCGGGCAAGCCACTAAGGCCGTCGCTGCTGGAGGGCTGAGAGGAGCTAGAAGGACCGCTAGAAGACTGAGAGGAATCGCCCCCGAGCGATCCCAGGATACCGGAGAGCCCGCCGAGAGGGCTGCCGCTGGAGGGCTGAGCAGAGCTGGAAGAATCGCTGGAAGAGCCTCCGAAGCCGTTGAGAAAGTCGGGGAGTCCGCCGGAGGAGGAGGACGAGCTGCTGGAGGGTGAGGGAGAGCCACCGGACTGGGAGGAGTCACCACCGCCCAGGCCGGGTAGGCCTCCGAAGGGGCTGGAGGAGGAGTCACCTCCACCTCCACCCAGACTGGGCAGGCTTCCGAAGGGACTCGAGGAGGAGCCAGAGGAGGAGGAGGAGTCACCACCACCCAAGCCAGACAGCCCTCCGAAGGGACTAGAGGATGGGCCTCCAGAACCACCGCCCAAGGATGGACCACCACCGCCGAATTGACGCTTCTCGAATGGCAGCCCGGTGGGAAGGGTGATGCCGAGATCGGACAGGTCGGGGAGACCAGAGGGCAGGAGCTGAGACAGACCCTGTGAGTCTGTAGGGAGTGCAGCACCAGAGGGCAGAGAGAAAGGCAGATCCCGCCGCTTCAAGCCTAGGTCGGACAGATCCGTGGGCAAAGAGAAGCTGGGGAGGCCTGAGGGAAGGGAAAGACCAGATGGAAGGGAGAGACCAGTCGGAATGAGATTGCTTGGGATAGGGAACGGAAGGAGGTCGGAGAGATCCTGTCTCTTCTCGACGGGAGTCGGCAAGGCCAGGGCACAGCCCGCAAGGCACACCGGAGCGACGTGTTGGAACTTCATTGTAGTGATTGCTTAAGTTCCTAAAATGATGAAAAGAAAGATTGAAGAGATGTGAAAGCTACAAGTGTCAGTTTGAAGGAAAGGAAGCGTTAAAGCCTGATAGACAGTCGATAGGGAACACGGATCACGAGGGTCCTTTATATGTCTGCCGAATGGCGACGCTCTCGATGATGTGATGAGCTGAAAGCATGGGGGTCCGACGTGCCGTCCACGAGGGTAAATCGAATGAGATCATCGAATAACTAGGTTGTGCAATGGAAAAGAGCACGCACTCAAGATGATGCAAGCAACAATTTGCTGCTGTGGGACAAGACCAACATCGAGCCGCTTCATGAGCAAGTCTGTTTCGGGGCCGGTTGCTGTGTCTGCTTAGATGCTTAACTCTAAACTGCAGGGATCTTGAAACACTGGCGAGCTCGGGGGTTTAGTCCAAGACAGAAATTGATCGATGCTCCCAAAAATGAGGCCGAACCGTTGAAGCCAAGGAACGGACCCATCCTTGTTCGATAGATCTGCCATGGCATCACCAGCCACTGTATGAAATTGATAGCTCATCTACCCCAGACGAGCCCATGAAACGTTCTGTGTGCGATGCATACTTACAAATCCAGGGTCTTGGGGGAAAACCAAAATCACCAGCAAGTCCCTGCCCATGTTAGCGCAACAGCTAATCTGGAGAGCCATGGGTGGAAAGTCGTCTTTCGGAACGGCCGTGGATTATGGCTAATCCAACCGCCAATCGGAGCAGATAATTGTAACCGTGTTCCTGATCAGCGTTTCAAGCATCCAGGGCACTTGATCAGTGCCCGAGGGACTTTGTGGCCTGTTGCATCAGCCCTGGCCCTGTACTTGAAGAGTTCACGGTCTATTGGCATTTGTATTGAGAGTCCTTGTGGCAGATGCCAAAGAGTGTTGGGATGAGATCAACTGTCCAAGGGAAGTACAGAATCTGGTAACCCCCGTTATAAATTCTGAACTAGGCAGCCCAACCACTTGTAACAGAATCAAGTAGAAGGAGTAATGCGTGTCAGACCGTTGCCCGCCAGCTATAGTACTTGTGATGTATCAAGGTTCAAGGGCGTGGGGAGACGGCTCGGTATTCCTTTCTGTGATGAACGGTAGATAGGTTATCCGCCATCTGGGTCGAGTACGTGGCTTGCAAGGACAATGTCGTTTCCAAATCTTCTGGAACTCCTATCCCGCAGACTCAAAAAGAAGAACAATTTGGGGACGGGCAGATGTGGAGCAGTTCCAGGGTCGATCGGCGGATTCCTCTCCCACTCTGAGTGCCTGAGGCAGACAAGGCATCAGCCATGACTGCGCTGGCACTGGCTTCATTTCATTCTCTACCATTCCAACGCCGCATATTGCTTGAACACTCTATCACCTTTCTGGATACCTTACAAAATTTGATATAAATTGATTTCTAAGTATATACTAGACTCGAACTTGGGTCCAAGCCCATATTGACTACCATTGACTTTCGTGATCTGGCCGAAACAGGGTCGAGAAGGAATCCCGTCTCTCATTCAGTATTCCCTGGATTTCAAGTCATCACTTCATACTATTGAGTATGGCGCAAGATGGGTTCACCGTGAGCATACATTGGCACATAACCCTTGGTTGCGCAGGGAACCCCTGCCAAAGGAATGTAGGGCATGAAACGCACCTGAGCCGGTGAGGTGATGCTTCGGAATAGATTGCGATCATTGGAAAACCGCCTGGCAGTAAGCAATTGGTCTGTCAGAGATATCAACCCATGTTGAAGGGATAAATCTCATGTTGATCTGACGAGTCTGACCCGGAGTATCGCAAGATCGGTAGCTGATTGATTCGACCACGACCAATTGATATCCCATGCCCAAGAATCTTCGAGTGCGGCGCACATACATCCAGTTGGTTCTTCTATACGTCAATACAATATAGGTCTCTTGCATCAAGTTGCTGAACCTTGAGTTTCATGTTCATCCCGCCTACTAGGATCAGTCGCGCTGTGACTGTGTGCCAAGTGCCCTGTGAAACCAACTGAGAATCCAATCAAAGGGATGCCCTCGTTGGCTGTAGGACAGCGAATTCCAAGAAAAGTTGACTTTCGACCCTAAAGGCTTTACGTACCTTAGCTGGCTTATCAATACATACGCCTGTTGAACCCTTATGGCATGCTCCACACGTAAATGGATACTTTCCCTCTATCTGGCATCAGACTGAGTCTGATTGCGTGTTTTCTTACAATTGAAAGGGAAGACTAAAACCAACGGCTACATTTATCGAAAAGGCCACCGATACCAAGATATGCCACATTCTGGAACTTTCGGTTTTAGATCTGCCTTGTTAGCAAGAGTTCGGTTGCAATTAGAAATACACCAATCTTGTCAAACCAAGCCTTCCAGACGTCACGCAGATACAAGTTTATCGAAGGCAAGTGGAAATTCACTCAAGACCAAATTTTAGGCCCCGGGAACTGCCATGAAGGCCACAGGTGTTTCAGGTTTATTATTGAAGGATCATCCTCACGTGCTGGAGGCCAGCCTAAATAGCCTTCTTGGCTAATCAAAGGCAACACAGCGCAACGGTGCCCAAGTGTGATGAGCGGCTGATCTTCTTCGGGCCTAGTTACTCTAGTTGTGACTACGGGCAGGCTTACGATAGCATGAAAACAGACCGGACTGTCGGGCTTTGTCAGCGGATAAGTCATTTCCCTTGAGAATGCCTGAAGATGGCGACTTGTTCAGGAGACACTGGACTGGTGATGATGAATCTTTTGCGAGAAGGTTGAACCTCGGAAGTATGTTTAGAGTACCAAAGGTTGGTGACCAGGCATACGACTGTTCAACTTGGAGAGGGGACGAGGTGCAATGTAGTCCACAGTTCTGCAAAACCATTGGTGTTCATCAGCCCATGTCGCCATGTTGCACAATATTCGCTGGTATCAACGTTTACCCTTCTCTGGGGTTGTTTTAACAGCCCAGCAACTCGCAGCAGGTTTCGTGGAGCCACACTATGTTCACGCATCTGAAATGGTTGTATCAGCTGGCTCCACCACCCGGGGCAAACATAGCATGGTGTACTATAACAAGGAGATCTGCTAACCCTACTAGAAATCACTTGTGCTTGCCAGCTCACTGTTCTACGATCTTTGAGCACACCCAATGACGACGATTCCACTCTATACAAGAGTCGAGTATAAAAAAAAATAATCAAAGAGCACTGATATTGCGCATCGCTCAACACGGCCAGGTGAGCTGTGATCCAAGAATCGCTCTTGAGAGTGTCTCGGAGTCTTTCCGAGGTCAATCAACTTCCATCACAATTGCAGATGGAGACTGAAGAGACTCACAGCCATGCCATAAGCTGATTGGCCGCGTTGCTTTAAAAAGGATTGGTCATGTGTTCGACTGACCAATGGAAGTACTTATTTTACTGACTAATTTTATTCACGTGACTGGAGGCTGAGATGGACCAGTCAGCGTCGAGGATGCGGAAAAATGCGATAATCGAAAAGTGAACCGTGCTTCGGACCCCCAATGATTAGGTTTCATCGCTTATAAGCAGCAGGAAAGAAAGATTTGGGATAGGAGCTTCTGTGAGTACAATCTTGCTGTATAGAGATGGGCAAAAGGATGATACGCGCTCATGTCGGTTTGTTACTGGCCTCTGCTGACGCCATCCGCGCCATGATTGGCATCAAGATAGCCGCCTGGAATAAGCAACTGACCCCCTGCAACCCAGAATAACTTGAACCACCAACCCTGAGGGTGAGCAAATCCTATAGCTATAAAACACCTGGTTTGCAAAACACCGACGCGTTAGAGTTCAGCGTCAGAATGTCCCCAATCAAAAGCGTGGCTGTCATTGGCACGGGGCCTGCCGGCGCCATTGCCGTGGACGCCCTGATGCAGGAGAAAGCATTTGACAGGGTCCGTGTGTTCGAGAGACAAGAGAAAGCTGGTGGGTGCTGGTATGTCTACACAGCTGCTACCAGAGGTTTTGGGAGCAACCTTTCCTGGTTCTCGTGGCCGATAGTTAATCGACACTAGGGTATCGCGAAACGAGAAACAGGTGCCCTTGGATGTCGATAAGCTTTCCACAAGGACGGCGGATGCTCCTATCCCTATTCCGTCCGAATTGCCTGCATCCACACCAGCATTGGCCCAGCATCGCTTTACTGACTCCCATATCTACCCGAACTTGCACACCAATGTGGATGCCTCGACCATGGAGTACTCGCAGGAGTCGATCCCGGCTATCCGGTCGGAGATGTCAATTGCGTTGCATGGACCTGACACCCCTTTCCGCCATCACACAGTGATCCGCCAGTACATTGAGGATCTCCTGAACCGCAATGGCTATCAAGATCTTGTAGAATACAACACGACCGTGGAACGTGCGGTCAAAAACCCCAAGACCGGTAAATGGGAACTGATATTGCGCCGGGCCGGCAAGCCTGGTGGGTATGATTACTGGTGGAGTGAGAGTTTTGATGCACTGGTGGTTGCCTCGGGGCACTACTCTGTGCCTTTTATCCCCTCTATCCCCGGCCTGAAAGAATGGATCGGCAAATACCCAGAGAATGTGTTGCACACGAAGCAGTATCGCGGTCCCGAACGCTATCGCGGAAAGGTATGATGATGCCTAGTCGCCCAATTCTATACAGTTGATACTAATAGCCTATAGAAAGTCATCACCGTTGGAGCTTCGGTGTCTGCCGCAGATACCGCGGTCAGTCTGATCGGCTCTGCGCAATCCCCCATCCACGCTGTGGTTCGCGGTCGGTATAACCCTTACTTTGGGGATTGGGCTTTCAGACACCCTTCTATCAGTCGTAAACCGCCAATTTCGCGCGTTGAAAGTGGAAATGGTCAGCGGACGGTGTACTTTGAAGATGGAACCTCGGTCTCGGATGTGGACTATATCATCTTCGGAACGGGCTTCACCTGGGCATTGCCATACCTGCCGGATATCCCGACTAGAAATAACCGTGTTCCGGATCTGTACTTGCACATCTTCCATCAAAGCGATCCAACCCTTGCCTTTTTAGGAGCGGTATGTACCCAAACTCGCAGTGTTGCGCATACAAATGACCCAGGCTAACATCTGACTCAGGTTGGCGCTGGATTGACTTTCAAGATTTTCGAATGGCAGGCCGTGGCTGCCGCGCGAGTCCTGGCTGGCAAGGCCCAATTGCCACCCTTGGAGGAACAGCAGAAATGGGAACAAGATCGGATCGCAAAGAAGGGTGATGGACCCGCGTTCAGCACCATCAACCCGGACTTCCGGGAGTATTTCGAGACTCTTCGTCAATTGGCGGGCGAGCCCAAGGCAGGCGAGCCGGGGCGTGTCCTGCCTCCGTTTGAACAGGAGTGGCTAGATGTGTTCAATGCTGGACATGAGCGCCGGATTCGGATGTGGCAGAAGGCCAATGAAGCGGCGGCGAAGAGTAAACTGTAATACAAATCTGGTTCAGGATTTGGTGAAATGGGCTGGTCTTTGACACTAGCATAGCGCTTATTGTTTATAGACACGATATTTAGGCTATATACTAGACCGGGTCCACATGGATCCCCGCATCTCCGTTTCGTATCCTGCTTAACTCCGTTTGCATCCTTCCATTAATCAAGCACAATCATGCCACAATATCCCCGCATCACCTCGTGGGACATTCGTCCAGTCCTGCGAAAAGCAAGCATTTTATCGGAATCCGGTTCTGCCGATCTGCAGGCTAACGGGGCTACAGCGGACGGTTTCTATCCTCCTGAGAAAGTCCTCCAATAGAGGCACAGTCCACCTCGGTTTTAATGCAGGTAGCTGCAGCCAATATATTTCTTCTCGGCTCTTCCCCCATCATTCGACAGTTTGATCAACTCATAAATTGCTGGGTCGACCATGACGGCGATAAAATGGCTCCCTTTCCCCTTTTCCACTGCACTTCAGCACTCGATTCCAAGCAGCCAGCTCACACAGAATGCTCATCTCTGGATCATCAGCGGCCTTCTGTGCATTGGCTTTGCCTTTTGCGGCGGCCAAGTCGTTATGGTCTGATTCCCCAGGAAATTATAGTAGCTTCATAACCACTGCATTTCCTCTAGGAAATGGACGATTGGGGGGTAAGCTCTTTAAGCAAGGCCTCAAGAAATTATTATGATCGGATACTGAATGTTTCAAAAGCCATGCCTATAGGTTCCTACGACAAGGAAATTGTCAATCTCAATGTCGACTCGTTATGGCGTGGAGGGCCTTTTGAAAGTCCGGTGCGTGGGAGCGTGTACCCGCGTTTTCCTCCTAAGGCTATAGAAATACTGAGAGAACAATATAGACATACTCAGGAGGAAATCCAAATGTTTCAAAGGCGGGTGCACTTCCTGGTATCAGGGAATGGATATTCCAAAATGGAACAGGCAACGTCTCTGCGCTGCTGGGCGAGTATCCGTACTACGGATCGTACCAGGTGTTGGCAAATCTGACCATCGACATGGGCGAATTGAGCGATATTAACGAATACCGTCGGAACTTGGACTTGGATTCGGCTCTTTACTCGGACCATTTCAGCACCGGCGAGACCTATATCGAAAGGTAATAAGCTGCTTCTACGGTCCAATGGATCGATTGCTGACAGATAATAGGGAGGCATTCTGCTCCTATCCGGATAATGTCTGCGTCTACAGACTCAGCTCAAACTCATCACTACCTGAGATTACCTTTGGACTGGAGAACCAGCTTACGTCGCCTGCCCCGAATGTCAGCTGCCACGGGAATAGCATCAGCCTTTATGGCCAGACTTACCCTGTTATCGGGATGATCTACAACGCCAGGGTGACGGTCGTCGTTCCCGGATCAAGCAATACGTCTGATCTCTGCTCTTCGTCAACTGTCAAAGTGCCAGAGGGTGAAAAAGAGGTTTTCCTTGTATTTGCTGCCGACACCAACTATGAAGCCTCCAACGGGAATTCCAAAGCCAGCTTTTCGTTCAAAGGGGAGAACCCGAACATGAAAGTCCTCCAAACGGCGACCGATGCTGCCAAAAAGTCCTACTCTGCACTCAAGTCATCTCATGTCAAGGATTACCAAGGCGTTTTCAACAAATTTGCCCTTACTCTTCCAGATCCCAATGGCTCAGCCGACCGTCCAACTACCGAGCTTCTGTCGTCCTACAGTCAGCCTGGAGACCCCTACGTGGAGAATTTGCTCTTCGACTACGGTCGCTACCTGTTCATATCATCATCGCGACCAGGATCCCTGCCGCCAAACTTGCAGGGTCTCTGGACGGAGTCGTATTCTCCTGCTTGGAGCGGTGACTACCATGCCAATATTAACCTACAGATGAACCACTGGGCCGTTGACCAAACAGGACTAGGGGAGCTGACTGAGCCCCTCTGGACATACATGGCTGAGACATGGATGCCTCGAGGCGCGGAGACAGCAGAGTTGCTGTATGGCACCTCGGAAGGTTGGGTGACGCATGACGAGATGAACACATTTGGACACACAGCGTGAGTATCTCGAAAGCCTTCAAATCTGCGGCACTGACGCAGATTAGCATGAAAGATGTCGCACAATGGGCCGACTACCCTGCTACAAATGCATGGATGTCACATCATGTATGGGACCACTTCGACTATTCTCAGGACAGTGCCTGGTATCGCGAAACAGGCTACCCCATTCTCAAAGGAGCAGCCCAATTCTGGCTCTCTCAGCTTGTGAAAGATGAGTACTTCAAGGACGGCACCCTAGTTGTAAACCCCTGCAACTCACCCGAGCATGGGCCTACAGTAAGTTCCCAACAAAGTCTTCCAAACTAAACAGCTAACGCCCCAGACCTTCGGCTGCACCCACTACCAACAACTAATCTGGGAACTGTTCGACCACGTCCTCCAAGGCTGGACCGCCTCCGGCGACGACGACACCTCCTTTAAGAACGCCATCACCTCCAAATTCTCCACCTTAGACCCAGGCATCCACATCGGCTCATGGGGCCAAATTCAAGAATGGAAGCTCGACATCGACGTCAAAAACGACACCCACCGGCACCTCTCCAACCTCTACGGCTGGTACCCAGGCTACATCATCTCCTCCGTGCACGGCTCCAATAAAACCATCACCGACGCCGTCGAAACAACCCTCTATTCCCGCGGCACCGGCGTCGAAGACTCCAACACCGGCTGGGCCAAGGTATGGCGTAGTGCCTGCTGGGCGCTCCTCAATGTCACAGACGAAGCATACTCCGAGCTCTCGCTTGCAATTCAGGATAACTTTGCCGAAAACGGATTCGATATGTACTCCGGATCACCTCCATTTCAGATCGATGCTAATTTCGGGCTTGTGGGAGCGATGGTTCAGATGCTTATCAGGGACTCGGACCGTTCTAGTGCGGATGCGAGTGCTGGGAAAACGCAGGATGTGCTTCTTGGGCCGGCGATTCCCGCGGCGTGGGGAGGTGGGAGTGTTGATGGACTGAGACTAAGGGGTGGTGGTGTCGTGAGTTTCAGTTGGAATGATAGTGGAGTGGTTGATTCCTGCAAGGCGGATCTTTCTGCGAGAGGCAGTGATGTCTCGCAAGTGAAATTCTATGTTGCGGGTGGTAAGGCGATTAATTGTTCGTCATGAGAGCTCCCTTCCTGTACTATCTGAGTGATAGGAATTGGGCGCTGGCCCTGCTAATGTCAACCATGAGTACTAGTCTATATGATAGTGATTCAATAGGACCACCCTTTCTCTAATCAAACCACAACCACGAGCGGGGTACTTAGCAACCATACCCAGCCTCTCATCCACGTGCAGATTACTATCAAATGGGCCTAGGTCAGGTGCGGGATATGGTACAATATCCATAGCAGAAACTTGGATCACTCTCCACAGCAGAGGTCTCGTGCCAAACCCCGGTCTGTCGTGGCATGAACAACTCAAGCGAGGATCGCCATCATGGATGAGCAGCGTCGCACCAATCTGCCTGGGGGCTTATCCCCGCTTGATCAGCGGTGCAGGGAAAGGGAGCTTACTGTAGAAATGAGCCAACAAGTAGTACTTTAGCTGTCACTAGTGCCAGGTATCTTGCAGGATAAGCTGCATCCGGAATGAGGGGAAGTCGAGTGATTTGCTCATCATCAAGTCTGCGAGGAGGGCGGATTCTTTTCAGATGAGGCTCGCTGGGCAAGCATAACGTGGCTATGATACGAATGCAAACGAAATAGGGTGAGAGCGGGATCACTTGTTGATCAGGGTTTGGAATGCTGGTTGCAGGTTGTTGGTCGTGGTAGGTGTGGGATGAAAGGGAGGGGGATTATTGATTTCTTTTTCTGGCGGGGCGAATTGGTGTGCAAATGCATGATCACATTGCAGAGACAAGAAAAAGCAATATGTCACTCCCCTCATGTTCTTTATCTGACATGGCTTTCAGACCCGTCGGATCTGCAGCCACAGCTGTAATGGGCGTCTTCTTCTTCATGGAAACCAACCCGTGGTTGAGTTAAAAGTCACAGGCTTATTTTCAAGATTATTCGCAGCATCGCAGCATCGCCTCATGAGATTTGGCCAACAGAGGAAAATGAATTTCCGTAAGCATAAGCAATTGGTAACATTTTATGGCTTCGAAATCTGCACCCAAGGGCGGTTATTGTAACGAAGAAGGGTCACAGCGAATGATTGAATATCCACTGATCCGAAAACGTGCACTGCGGGGCTCTAAGTGACAAGTCGAGCCTTTTTGGATATCAAGATTTACTAATATGTAGAATGTGCTCGATGCAGGCATGAGCAAGGCATGGATGATCTGCCGGAGTATCTACTCGGGCAAAAGAAAAACCCCACACCAGTACTAATACCCCCAATCCTATTTTATTAACTTTGAAATCAAATTTAAGAGTCATGAGTGAAATTGGTCTTCATTCAAAAACAACCGCGTCTCATCGAATACTAAGTGTGTTCTTTCGCTGTGCGTGACTTGACGTGAAAATCAACATCATGGATGTCGCGGGAAAACTGATACCAGAGACCGATATGTTGGATGACTGCACACACAAGCGCTTCCGCGCTATTTGGGAGATGGGTCGCCTCCATACTCGCGAAACCTGGCTGTCGGTAATTCCAGCCGTGTGGGGAGCGAGTATTGGTGCAAAGGCAGGCAGGACGGATGGATGGTCATTTGCCTGGGTTCTGTTTGGCATCTGGGCAAGTGCAACGGTCTCTCATGCCGCATTTTGTACATGGAAGTGAGCATAGCATACCTCTCCCTCGAATTGTTCTATGTAAATAGCTACTAACCAAAGCGACCAGTGACATCTGTGATGTCGAATATGACAGACAAGTTGAACGATGCAAAGGCAGGCCGCTACCATCCGGGCTCATCTCCGTCAAAGAGGCCACTTTCTTCTTTCTCTGTTGGATACTTCTCACCCTGGGGACTACCTGGTATACACTAGGACCACAGGCGACTCTGTGTACCACACCTGCGTGGCTACTGGGCTTGATCTATCCCTTTATGAAGCGGGTCATGCCCTTCCCTCAGCTCGTGGTCGGTCTCTCTGTTGCCAGTGGTGTTATGCCGGGGTATGTCTCTGTTCGGGGGATTCTCGAGTTCAACGGGTCGGTTCTAGCTCTGTTTGGGGCAACCGCCTGCTGGATTATCTTTCTTGACACCGCCTACGCCGTTCAAGATATGCTCGACGATGCGAAATGCGGAGTCCAGTCGCTTGCGGTGTTCCTGGGAAAGCGTGTCCGAATGTTCCTTGCGCTGGCTGCTGTCATTACTATTGCATTCTTCTCTACGGCTGTTTTACTGAGCAATCTCTCTCTATTTACCTGGATCTTCGGTGTCGGGGTATGGGCAGCCAGCATGATACGGAGCATATTTCTATTGGATCTCAATGTCTGCGCGTCTGGGGGACGTGTGTTCAGGTCTAACATTGAATCCGGCTTTTATCTTACGGTAGTTACACTTGTGGAAGGGTATCTTCAAGCGTGCTTTTCTTGAGAGATTGCAGTTTAATTCTCTCATTTCTATGTCTTTTTAAATAACAATATCACTGTTGCTTGCGAAAATTGGATGTGGATGGACTGGCTCAACCCGGTGTTTAGCCTTATCGAACACGAAGACTTTTCTGCTCAATTCCATCATGGTCTTCGCCTTATCTGCTCTTCCAGTCTAAGTTTATACCAATTCTTCTCTTACTATCGTTGATCTAGCGCAATGTCAATACTAGCCGAACTCTTGAAGTATTTGTTTCTTCCACCAGAGCGTGCTCCCGGGCTGAAAGCCGGTCCTTGCACAATAACAGGGATGCTGGAAGGAGAGGAGGTCCGTAGAAACTTGGAGCTCTGTCTGGATTTACAGACAGTCGATATGGGTTCACTGGTAGAGTAATGATGAAGTCAATATTAGTGAAGGTGAAAGAGTGCCATTACCCTAAGCTGATGATGAAGACTTCATCAATTGAGTTAGTAGTATCATCAAGTGATGGAATATAGAATTAGTGTTGAGTATCATGGATACTCCTAGTGCTACTTTCCATATGGATATCTACGCTGAAGTATGGAGTAGTAGGAAGATTTCTACACTGTCTACAGGCTTATAATAGGGAGCTACATGCCCAATACAAATTTAGATCTTAAGGTCGATTAGATATTCATAGATCTTCTTTTTAATTAACTGTAAATATAAGGCACTATTTCATGCAGGAGTCTATATTTGGCAACCTGGTAACTTTTTATGGATCAACGACTAGCAGATCATCCAGCTCGAATTCCACCTCCCGCCCTTGAGCCTCCAGCTCCAGATATCCAGGTGCACTCTGCTCGATAATGCGGACGCAGAGGTCCCGACATCCGTAACCCGGGAAGAGGAACTTGTTGTTCAGTCGGGTTGACTCCAAGAGCTCGAGGATGGGAAGGTTCATGTCCAAGCTATATCGATCTCATTAATCAAGCAAGGTCTCATCAGAAGACGAGAAGTCAGCAGCAATGTTTGGGAAAGAAGGAACGTACGGTTCATTATACTGCGGCGGGCCCCCGATCCCCGACTCGGCAATCTCGTCCAGGTCCTTCCCCAGGACCTGCTCGAAGGTCATGGTTTGCCCCATATTCCAGGGTCGACGGAGGGTCGAGACGCGGACGTCGCCATTGGAGCCATACTCCACCAGGGTGAGGCGCCCCGTGGCCAGCCCCGGCGCATCGATGACGAACCACGTGAGGTCCGGCCCGTCGGCGAATACCACCGTGCCCTGGCGGGTCATGGAGATAGCGCGGTAATCCGCCGGGGCGAGATACAGCGCCGGGAGGACCTCGCTGAGGGTGGTGGTGGCTGTGGCCGCCGGAGGGCAGCCAAGCAGCTCTGGAATGTGGCAGCGGGGGGCGTCGCCCGCCCCACGCAGGTCGAAGGGGTGCCGCCTGCTCCATTCATCTTGGTGGACGTATAACAGAATAAGAAACTTCACGAGGTGGATGTAGCTGCGCGGATGGGTCTCCCGGTTTATTGGGGCCAAACACAAGAAGCGTTTGTTGGGTCTCGGGGTGAGCTGCGAGAGTACCTGGGCCGGGTAGTCGACAGCCGAGGTAGTATATCCTGCGGAACGACTGTGGTAGGACTGCGGCAGTGTTACCCTTCAATCTTCTTCTTCCTCTTTTTCCACTCATGCTGATTCATGCTGAAGATGAAGAAGGCAAGAGAGGGACAGATAAGAGGATGACAAGAGGAAGAATCTGGAGACTTCTGGGGTTATACGGACCTCGCGGAACTCCTGGCTTGCGGTAGCCCATTTCTCGATTAGGGCTCGTCGTTGGCGAAGCCCATCTTCGGTATTTGACGTCGGGTGGGATTCTTCCTGCAGCCGGCGAAAAAGTGATTGGAAACCGTCAGTGCGACATATCATGATAGGAATGTGTGCTTCCGCAGAATCCCCTCTACCCGTACGAATAGCAACCATCCCTTGGCCTCTTCCGCGAGCTCTTCCGGGCCCAAATCTGTCAGATGCAGGCGGATTTGTGGAATTCCCGCCGGCCAGGATACTTCTGACATCCGCTGTGACATTCTGGACTGGAATTTCTGGGTGTGAGAATCGGATTGCGAAGCTTGTAGCGCGAGAAGAAAAGAAGGAAAACGGGTGAAAGCATTCATTCCGCCAGTCCACCGAGTTTACATAAATTTCATAGGGAAGAAAGGGTCCATCAAAAAGGAATACAAAACATTACAAGACCCTTCCGGTATTTCACTAGTGCAATGTTGATTGTGGGTCCTGATTCTCGACTGTCCGAGGTCACAGAGTACGGGCTGGCCCCAGAGCATGTCTTTGGGTAGGCGCAGTTTTCGAGAAGTGTAGATTGAACGGGTGCTGTCTAAAATTCTCTGGGGGGTTGGGGTTTGCTGCTCGGCTCTCTCAAAGTCTGTTAGAATCGACTCATCGTCAATGCCAAGCATGATGTTTGAGGGTTTGATATCTATATTCTCACACTATTTTAGCAACGATTGTTTTGTGATTTGCTGGAAATGAGGGAATATACCGGTATGAACAATGTTCGCTTTCCTATGAAGAAAGTCAAGTGCCCGGAGGATACATTTCAAGGTTTCTTTAAGTAGAAACTCGCCCAGTCTTCGGGAGCTGGAAAGCATTCGCAGCTCGTGTAGAGACATATGCATTGGTGGATGCACCTAGCATGATAGATAGATAGATGGATGGATGGATGGATAGATAGATACATAGATAGATTAGATTACAATCTCACCGGGAAGAATCAGGAATTATTCCTCCAGTTCATACGATCGATGTTGCAAGGGGAACCTGAGAGGAGGAACTCAGCGAGGGCGCTACTAGAGGATCCGTGGTTGAATTCGGCTTCACATTCATAGCAGCTAGTTGAATAGATGTACCGCCCGGATATGTACTAATTCAAGAGATTGCTGACACAATTAGTTAAGATTAGCATAGAGTTCTAGTCAAGACGAAGCAGGCTAGAATGACAAGATGGTGTGAGGAGCAGATGCATATATGATCGATGCGGAGTTTCACGGTGATGGATTTGATTTCTTATCACATAGAGGCTGCTGCTGCTGCTGCTGCTGCTGCTGCCGCCGTACTGGATAAGTCGATGGGATATAATTTGGGTAGACTTCTAAGCCTACTAATTGTAGCAAAGTATGATCACAGGTAACGAGGTACTAAATATGCACTACGACCTACTTCATTGCTTAGTCTAGTTTTATCTCCGAATGTTAACTACCCTCTCGGTTCGCGTTTATCCGATTTAGCCGGTTTGGCAATGCTGATTTGTGGCAATAACTAGGGACTGGCCCATGCTTTAACAATATATTCTAATTCTAGTTCTATCATGTGTTCATCCATCTCTTGTCGGAGTATTCCCGAGTCTGTAACTCCGAAACGGGTATATAACCCCCTCTTCTTCGCTCCGGATTCCGGTGCGGGGTAAGAACTATAACTCTCAGAGTGCATCAATACATAACTGGAAACAAACCGTATATATCCTCATAATATCAACAAAATCAAGATCATATCAACAGAAATCATATAAGAAAAAACATATCGACACAATCATACCAACAACAAATCATAATAGCATCATGTCATCATCATCATCATTCACAGACAAAGTCTATACCATAACCGGCCTCTCAGGCATTGGCCTCGCCGTGGCACGTCAACTCCACGCCCAAGGAGCTCGTCTCTCTCTTGCGGATATATCCGAATCCGCGCTGCAGCACGCACGGGCCCAGCTCCCCAACGCCACCGATGAGAACGTTCTCACCAGAGTCGTTGATGTTGGATCCTGCTCGTCTGTGGAAGACTGGATCGATGCCACGGTTCGTCATTTTGGCCGGCTCGACGGCGCGGCAAACATGGCGGGCATGATTGGGAGTAAGCATGGCACGGGCTCGTTGTTGGAGCAGGATGATGCAGAGTGGGATATGTTGTTGAGGGTGAATTTGTCCGGGGTGATGTATTGCATGCGGGCGCAGATAAGGGCTATTCAGGGGACGAGTAAGACGGGGAGTATTGTTAATGCGGCGAGTATTCAGGGTCTTAGGGGCTTTGCGTTGCATGCTGCGTATTCGGCGACTAAGCATGGGGTGGTTGGGTTGACGAGGAGTGTGGCTAAGGAGGTGGGGCCGGAAATTAGGGTTAATTCTGTTGCGCCGTGAGTGTTGCCCCCTTCCCTCTTTCTTCATTTCGTTCCGGTTACTTGGTTTGGGGGCTTGTTGGTGGCGCTGACGGTGGTTTGTGTAGTGGGTCGATTCAGACGCCGTTGTTGGACAGGGCCACGGCCATTCAAGGAGGGTTCACACCCACGCCGACGGTGATGCCGCGCGTGGGAACGCCTGACGAAGTCGCCCATTCGGTGCTGTTCTTGCTCAGTGATGCCTCGTCGTATACCACGGGCACGGCCCTGAATGTGGATGGTGGATGGGACCCGTAATCCTGCTGGATCTGTGGTGGGGATAGATCATGTCTGTGCAGTTTAGTTGCTCCATCGAGGAGTTCAAACCAACTTGTTGGTTTCAGATATACCAATCGAGCAATGTGTTGGCCCCATGTTGGTTCCTGCAGGATCGGACCCTGAGATTTGGCCCCATTTGGCCAGGAACAGGCAGTGCGAGACGACTTGGCGGACATCGGTGGACGCTAGAAGAGGCGCAGATTCAACTGTAGAGCCAAAGGAATGCACCAATGACTAGCGCAACGAATAGAACAATGAGCTTGTTGCCAGTATAGTGGGTAGGGAGTATCAGCAAGATTAGACAGCACATACACAGAAGCGCTAATGAATTGAGCGAGTGGTTCGGTTGAAGAATCCGACCACTGCTTTCGTTTGATGTAGCGTTTATGCTAGATTTACTGAAGTTTCCACCTTTAGTGCCTGAGCGTTATTTGCCGCTGGCATTAACATACCCCTCGACAGCCACTGGCCATCCATTTACATAGTGCAGATAGTTCCATCCCAAGTGCGCGTCCTGTATTGCGTTAGTATCATCTTGTCAATGGATAGTTAAGGCTAGACTCACGCCCTGTGCGAAACCAGATGTAGTGTTGACTGCAAGCTCTGTTAGCTGACTTCCCAACAACAGTGGACTGTAAACGTACGATAATGGTAATATAAGACATCGGCTTCGCTGCCGTTGTTGATCAACACGCCCACACCACCCGGGGCATAGACAATTCCATGGTTGGAGCCGTAGACGATGGTACCGCCTCCCTTGAGGGTATCATGGCCATCCTTGTCCACGAAAGGACCTGTCGCACTCTTAGATCTGCCGACCCGGATGTTGTACCTGTTGTAAATGTTAGCTACCAAGTTCTCGAATAGAAGATCATGTGCACGTACTCGTCTCCCATGGGCGGAAAAGCGTGAATATCAAAGTGACAACATTTGCCGTGACTGAACCACAGGTAGTAGTAAGGCGCCTTGTAAGTCATGAAAGAGCCCTCGATAGGCTTGGACTTGGCATCGGGGATGTAGGCCAGGTTGGTCGCGTTCGGGGTCTTCGGGGTTTTGACGGAAAGGAGATCATCGGCCAATGGCACCGAGAAAATGCCATGCCAATAGCTTCCGTAAAGCAGGTGAGACTGTCCGGTCTCTTGATCGGTGATGAATGCGCCGTCAATCGCATTGGATACCGAGTAAGGATAGATGTCCGACAGGTCTCCCTTGCCGGTGTTGACGACAGCGCCATGGTCCGTCCAGTTTCCACCGACGGGAGTATCCGAAGAGGCGACTCCAATGGCGCTGTCGCGGCTGCCGTTCTCGCTGATCGCGTAGAAGCAGTAGAAGCGGTTGTCGTGCTGAATGGTCGTAGGGGCCCAAGGACGAGAGCGGTTCTGTTTTGGAATCACGCTGGAGTCGTCCAGGACGGTCCCGACCTGTTCCCAAGGCCCACTGAGGGAGCGGGCTCTGTGAATCGGAATGTGCACACCACCTTTGTACAAGTAGAAATAGCCATCATGCTGAATGACATTAGGGTCATGAGCAACGATGTTGCCCAGGTTGGGAAGGGGATAATCTTTGGTCTTAGAGAAGGACTTGGTGTCGATCCCGGCGAGTGCACTCGCCCGGGGCGCCAGTGGAACAGCGTTCACTGCATAGAGCAGGAAGAATAAAACGGAAAGCAGGGAAGGCAGCATTGTGATGCTCTTCATGGATGCTGAAATCAAAATATCTGCAGAAAAGGAGTGGCGCGAGGAGAATAGTCCTCAAAAGTTCACGGGAAAGAGTAGTGCTAGTATAGCAGAACTGACATGAATGACTGAAACGATGGGCCAGCGTCCAGCAAGAGGGGATCTGATCGGGATATATCAGTGACAAGGATCCAGGGGAATGGGGCCGGAGCGAACCGGCCCCATTGAGGATGAGGGTGTTGGAATTGGAGGACAAGGCAGATAGGGACGCAGAGCTAGACCAGGCAGCGTGCCGTGGGCGGCATGATTGGTAGTGAGAAAGACCGGGAACTGAAGCTAGTCAAGGGACTAACGGGGCCAACAAGGCTTAGCTGTATGACAGCGCAGACGCACAGAATAGCCCGCTAAGATTCGGCCCACGAGGCTGTGGGAGTAAGATTAGATGCCTGAAATCCGTTTGCAAGTGAACAACCATCATGGCGAGAGTCCCTATCAAATAAGGCGAGATAACTAGTGGTAATAGATGGAAGAGCGGATGGGATAGCAACGAAGCACGTCACCAGCGACAAAGTTGGCGAGAAATCTAGATTCGCTCATGACGGCAATCGTTCCAAGAATAGGCCCAGTCAAGCTTTCGCTTTAACCTTCACCCCAACCCGTTACACGGAATACCATTACCGCTCTCACCGGCTGTATTACCTGTACCCGCCCGATGTCTATTATATAGCCAATCAACAGCCCGGGTTGGTCAAAACCCTGCAGATCCAGATCACCCACGGCTGGTCACGACCCTGCATTCAGTGCATTGAGACGGTCTTCATACAGTCAATACCGTATAGATCGAACGGAGGATACCACAGCCGCTAAGGTAATATGCCTGCCTAAAACATAGTCTTTCTTCTCAGTGTCTCGTATTGAACCCTGACTGCAGGACGCTAGAAAATTCTGCTTCTGCTCATGGATCTTTTTCACATGGGATCAGTGATGTGGGTGGATCTACTTGGATGGGATGATTATATTGTGGCATGTTACATCCATCCTGCCTGAAGTCATTGTCTAGCAAGGCGACAGCTCTTGTCATGATATCAGTGATATCAGTGTAGGAAGAGTCAATTGTCCCCCACAACGCATCAAACTGCATAATCCTGCCTGCCACATTCGAGAAATGGCCCCGCGGGAGAGGCGTTGAGAAACCCGCTGCATCCTGTGCTGTCAGCCTGTATTCCCTATACAGAGTGGGGTATTTCTACAGAGTATCAGCCACACACAGAGTTTACTACTACCTCGGTGATAGCGACAGCGATTCATAGAAGTAAAATAGTTCACCTTAGTTCACTGTAAGGGGAACCAAATTATGTTAATCGGTAAGCTAGAGCGCTAAGTAGTCTACTACTGTAGTGTTTGTTGATCATGCTAAGCAATTAGCCCCCACGCTCAGCCTCTTGCTCGGTAGAAAACAGCATTGAGGGAAATCCGATGCAAAGCCACAGAGAACCATCGGATGGAAGCAGACTCTTCGAACGGAAATAGAAGGGCAGAGTCTCCTGTAGATCATCTTCAGCCCTGTGTTTGGTGGAAAGGGAGTAAGTGTGCATGTTCGTGGTTTCGGGGTTGAAGAGTTTATCGCTCTACCGGGGTTTGATGGTCGGATCGCAGCACTGCCTGAAGTCAATTCTACAGTGGTAACTCTCTTCGCACTCCTTACATCTCTACTCGACAATTTCTTCTACCCTACAATTTCTTTTGCCAGGTGTCAAAAAATCCATCAACCAATTGATGAGTTGGGCTCCTCATGGCAGCGACCAATACAATCAATTAGGCCGACAATAGAATACTTTTAGCATCCCTGCTTGTTATCAAACGCCCTCATGCCATGTCCGAAGTATGACTGTAGATTTCACTTCTTCACTTGCTCCTCAATCAAATATCCCACCAGGAACCGCACTCTGTGGCCCAGCAATGGCAAAATCCTTACCAGTTCTGATATCATCCGATCAACATCGCGGTCGGGGCTGTCGATCCCTCGGTCCACTTTCCCTGTCGTGTAGACGAATGACGGTTCGGCTGTTGTGTACAATGACTTATTGTTGACATCGATAATTACAAAGTGAATGTGTCCAATGATCGCCATCCTGGTTGTGTCTAATCGCTGCGCAGTTATTGTGTGGCGTCATGGTCATAGATGATCGGTGAGAGATCACGATCGTATCTGCAGATAGAGATATTGTGTTCATACAGAAAGATAATACATATTACAGTAATCCGGGGAATGGGCGTACACGGAGGTGTTGGTACAGTTACATACAGTCGTCATGATAATATAGAGGAATTTTTACATCATTGCTGCAACGTGAATCCGGTTAGGTCGCCCCAGTCGAAGGCGTCGAGGAATGGATCTAAATCTCCTCCCGGTGGCTGTCGTGTCTTGTTAGGCCATTGCTCCTGTGACAAAGATACAGAAAAAGGGATGGACTTACCATCATGCCAAATTGGGGAGTTTGCCCCATGCTCACGTCAGGGACAAACGGGGGTGCCAGTCCAGGGTTTGCATTCAAGCTGGGAACCTATCACAACCAGGTCAGTACAGACTTCATTTGCTTGGAATGTAAAGAAGACAGGAACACTCACTTGGTTGGTTTTAAAGTTGCCCAATCCCCATTCGCCTAGATGGGCGCAATTGGCGTGTCGTGTAAACAGGGTCTGCGCAAAAAGTATGACTCGCTCCACAACCTCCTGCTTGTAGATCTGCGCCTGGCTCGGCCAGAGACCTACTTTGACCAATGCGACAATGGTCGACATGAAGAAATATTCCTTAGCTCCCTTGACCACAAGGAGAAGGCGGGATTCGAGACACGTCAGGACCACCTCCACCAGGGATATCAGAGATTCAGGGAGTCCAGGGAGGGTGCGGGTTAGGAAAGTGGAGGCGCCTGCTGTATATTAGCCATCGGGTGCAAACGCATAGGAATGGCGAGACTCACCGTTAGTGATTTGCCCCTGATGTAGAAGCTCGCAGATAGTGCAGTACGCCTGCATGGTCCAGTCACCCATATTGCAGAGAGACAGCCGTTGCGAGGTTTCGCGTAAGCGCCGTTGCGTGGATAGAATCATCGACGCTACTTCTAAGCGAGCCCGAGCGGACGGTGTAAAGAGGGAGTCTTTTGGCGCCTCGATGGCGAAAGGTGTGTGTATGGATAGGAGAGTGTGTCCGATTTTGTTTTCCAGCATTGCTCGGATAAGGATTCCGCGGTGCGCGGTTTGAAAGTTGTCCACGTCTGAAGTCGGCCAGGTCGGGATCTTGGAAAGGTGTCGGTTCAATTCAAAGTCAAAGTGCAGGATATCTTCGTATCGGCAGCTAATTCGTGGGGAGTGCATTAACGCGCAGGCCTTGAGCCGCAGCGGAAGGGATTGTACGAGGACCGCTTGGAAGGAGCAATCCGTCATGACATCCAACGGCTTTGCCGTCGGAAGCTCTGTGCTGTCCTCGTGGATCTCGTCGTCATTAATGTTGAGTGCCGGGGCCGTGTCGTAATCAGCTTCCTGGATTGACGGTGGCATGCCTCGTTCGAGAGATACCTGTAGATCGATTTCAACGATCGTGGTCCATATCCGTCGGCGCATTTCCATATTGAAGACGGAGATCCTGCTATACCGGGTCGGATCCCGATGATATCCGGCCATCATGGCTTGCTTGACTAGCGTTCCCGTCGCAAGCCAAGCTTGGCTGCGTTTCATGCCATGGATGTTGAGGGCGATGATCAGCAAGGTATTCAGGCGGAGACTGGTCAACTCCGGGCGCTTGATATGCGCGTTCTCCATCCACTTCTCGGCATGCAGGACCCACTCGACGGCCGTATAACATTGCAGATGCCCCTCGCTCTTCATCTGCAGCGTCTGGAAATCGGCGAGGTTCCATGCACAAGAAAGCACTAGGAGAAGCTGCACCACAAAGATCGGCGAGACCATATCTGGCGATTCGCGCTGCGCCCAGAACGTTTCCAATTCATTGAGGAATGATGGGATGTGAAGGATCCGGTGGGTGGATTCGATGTAGGTGCAGTACAAGGTGACCAGCTCGTCCACCACTGCACGTGATGGGAGCATTGGAATCAAGGAACTTGTTGTGGGTGTGGGAAATGGCGTATTCAGAGGCTTTTTCTTCCAGACCCCTTTCCTTACTCTCATCAAGTCGGGCCGCAACGCTGACAGATGCGGACTGGCTTGACGGATCTCCTCCGCAAAGGACCTGAGGTCAGGGAACTACAGAGACATTAACATCCGGCCAATTAAGAGTCAAAATTAGGGGCCCCCTCATAGATACCGAGCTGGCAAAGATGAAGGAAGCAAGGGAAGAATTACCTGCGCGATAAGGTTGGCAAAAATGCCCGACCCATTGAAACGGGTTTTGGTCTCTTTACCTCGCATCATGATCCGAGGGGAGACGTCCAGTTGCTGCGACGGCGATGTAGGAGTCTCATCGTTATCGTCGGGGTAGGGTTGAGAGTTGTTGGAATGATGATGGGATTCGGGCGGGTGGCGGGGGCGCTGGAGCAGCTCGGTGTTGACATACGGCTCCTGGTTGACGGCGGCCTTGGGGGCACCCAAGACGGTTTCCAGAAATTTATCGCGTTTTTCCTCGACGGGATGCGAGGGATGACACCGAGAGGCCAGACTGCTTATCCCCGAGTCCGGGGTAGGGTGGGCAGTCGCCCGATCAGCCTGGGGCATTTGCACCGTGGTTGTGGGACCTCGCTCGGAGAAAACGGGCGAGGCAACTGTATTGGGTTGCTGCCAGAGGAAGCCATCCTCATAAGTGCATTTATTCGGCGTCTTGCTCTTCTGACAGCGACTGCATACGGGATACTCACGATCGCAGCGGAGTTTTCTGCTGCGACACTGCATACATGCCATGGTGCGCCTGCGACGTTTCCTCACCCGTTGCTGCTCGGGCGGGGGTTCATGGTCGGGAGGAGCAGCAACAGCGGCCCCCAAAGGCTGCTGCTGGTGAAAGTCGGCCATACTGAACGGAAGGGATACTTTTTCTTTTTTTCATCGGAGAAAACTGCTGGAGAAGGGAGTGACTTGCGAAGAAAGAGTTAGTTGGGCCCCTCTCTCAGTGATTGTCTTTGTGTATTGTTCTTTTTGTTTTTTTGTTTCGGGGGGGAGAGAGGGCAATCTTGTGTGTCCTCGGAGGGACGCCCAACAAAGCTCACTCAGTCAGTGTCAGTCGCTCACTTACTCTGGACTCTCTGTCTCACTCTCGGTCGGGGTCGGTCGGTCGGCCGCGGCAGTTCAGATAAGTAAGAGAAGAAGCGAAGTTGCTGGGCTTACGTGTTTGGCCCACCGGCCCTTTTCCCCAAAACGGGCAGCTTCTCCCGGATGGGTTTCAGACCTTCCCTGAAAGGTTAACGATCTCCGACTGAGCCGTGTGGTGGTTCTTGGGAAGATTTAGGCAGAGATCAAATCCCCTGTCTTGTTATCTGTTAAGTGTTAACCTTATCCAATTGTCTTGTTGTGTCGGCAGTGAATCGTGGGCACTGACGGATTATGACTGCTGAGGTTGCAGCCACTCCCTAAGCGGGGATTCATCGGACGGGAAGAAAATTAATGAGAAGAGAGAAAAAAAACTCTCTTCTTCCTTCCCCCTGACCGAAGTAAGACAGTCAGACAAACTCTCGAACTCAGACTGGTTCCGACAACCAGTCACTGCGCCTCGTTGGACTCCATCGCGTTAGTCATCCGAGTCACCACAGCAGCCAGATCAACTAAGTAGTTAACTAAGAATTAACTATGAGATTGAGAGGGTCTCAGGGTTCTTGCCTGTCTCAGTCTAGTGGCAGGGGTTCCAAGGGTTCCAGCGCACTTTTCTTCTTATTTGGATTTATTCTTAACTTACTATAAGCTTAACAAGGCTTGATGGGGAATGGCCCGATGTGGGAGAGTAAAACACCCCCGGGTGTGATTGCCACCAGCGGGTTCACCGAACTGTACTTGAGCTCCATAGAAGATCAATGTAGATAGTCCTTAAAAATTGTCAAGGTCTTGTCAATAGCTTAGGCAGAAAAGAAATTGTCGAAGACAGCAACAGTGGAGATCGGAAACCATCTGCCATGTGCTTCGTGTGATGCTTCCATCTTTTCAGTTTTCACAGCCATCGCTAATCTTGTGAAACGCAGGGCAAACGGGACCCTGAAGTGGGCTGAAGGATTTCCGTCTCTGACAACTTCTCTCCTCTAATTGGAGAATTAACCTTCACTACGGAGTACTTAACGCACACCGAGTGCCAACGGTCGGAGCGAACAGGTGCCATGACTCCGTATGATGCGCGATGGCGCAGAGGGTAAGAATTGGGATGCCTGGCAGGCACTCCAGACTTGTATGGCCCCAACTCCTCCGATCGGGGATAGGCCTCGGGATATTCGTACAAGGCCGTCTCCGAGTCTTACTGCCGTAGATGATATAAAGATTGAAGGAGACAAAATTGAACCTTTCGCATATTAAATTTAAACTCTTGAACTATCTTTTTCGTGATCCCTGGTTTTGTGCTCGTACATACACACGCTGTGCTTAGCGAGACAATCGCCATGTTCCGATCACTTCTCTCGCGCGGTGGCCTTATCCGCAACGACAGCTACATCTTCCCGACCGTCGATCCGACAGAAGATGGTCCGGACTGTAAGAGGGACTGCGCCGACTGCACTGTGCAATTTCCCTCCAAAGTGAAGGTCGAAACCTCCAAACCGCTATACGGCCATATCAAGGAATTTCACACTCATGTCCTAGTCGCAACGGGGAAATCGGACTGGACCGAGAAGGTCGAAAACGAGAAGGGTTCTTTAATGCAGGCCTTTGACGAATCCGCACATCTCTCCAAACATGGCGTATGTCTACCCCGGAACTTGTCCTCTCTGAAAGTCCCTGCTAATCGCAACTAGCGCTTCATGATCTCCGCCTCAAACCTGACACCCCCAGAGACCGACGATGAGACAAACCAAGGAACCACAGTACTACTCTTGCCATCGTTCACCTTTATTGATGCCGTCAAACAAAGCGATGTCAACGAAGTGATCACTCGGTTTATGGACGCGCCATTGTCCCAGAATGGCGCCATCCCCGCTAATCCAGAGTCCAAATTGAACCCCCGGCCATGCGAGTACGACTACGTGGTGTTGCTCTGCTCCCACAAACGACGCGATGCTCGCTGTGGAATTACTGCCCCGTTAATCAAGAAAGAATTGGAGCGCCACTTACGGCCTCTGGGACTCTACCGCGATGCGAACGATGAGCGCCCCGGTGGTGTGGGGATTTTCTTTGTCTCCCATGTGGGCGGTCATAAGTTCTCTGCAAATGTTCTGATCTATCGGAAGGAGCAGCAGCAAATGATCTGGCTGGCTAGAATCAGACCTGAACATTGCGAGGGACTCGTCAAATACACGCTACTAGAGGGCAAAGTGGTACATCCTGAGACGCAGTTGCCTGGAGGATTTGATAGGGCTCGGAGGTTGACGAGCTGGTAGTCTTTATGTTTTCTGAAGTACTAGTACTAGTACTAGCGAGATATATATATTTAACTAGAACCAACTAAGAAGTAATAGATTAATGAGCGATGATCAATGGGTTTCTTTCTTCCAGTTTCTAGTTTCTCGTACTCCATACAAATGTCAATACAGAGACAGAATCTTGGCTCAGAGCCGCCAGCAGAAAATTCATTCCATTTTTTACAAACTATAGAATTGACAACTACAGACTACTCAAGATCTCCACTATAGGCATCGACGTCAAAAGAGTGCGAGTGCTACTCTATCATTGAGGACAGCGATTGGACAGACACGCTACGTCACTCCACGCGGGTGCTACCCGCGTTAATTGATTTCGCGCACGCGACGGTCCAACCGCCGGGGCTCCATTACCCATTACTATTTACTCCTGACGCACGGCTTTCACTCCCTTGAACCACCTCTACAGACTGCATTCCTACTTATCGACAGTCTATTCTTACCTATCCCTCCCTATACATCTATTATCGCGACCAACATGCAATAATGGCGACCGTCATGGCTCCGGAGATGGCAACCCAATCCGCCAATCTACGCGCCGAACTGAAAGAATGGGAGCGAGCTTTTGCGGACGCCAATGGAGGGAGGAAAGCCGAAAGAAGCGATATTAAAAAGGTCCCTGAAATTGGTATGAACATTACTCTCCATCCAGCTTTTTCCATCTATCATCCAACTCACAATCGCACAATCTAGCCGCAAAATACAAAGAATACTCCCGCCTAAAAGCCCTCGAGACATCATCATCCACCACCACCAAGACCGACAAAAACCCCGTCCAACTAGAAGAACGGCCCAAGAAACGGAAACACACATCCCCCAACGGCCCCTCAACATCTCTTACCACATCAACTCCCCGCAAGACCGCCAAAGGCGCCGCAGCATTCGAAACGCCCTCCAAATCCCGCCCCGTCGCAACATCCCACCCCTCCGAAGTCGATCCCTACGACTCCCCATCCGTCCTCCGTCGTCTCTTCAGCCCAAGCACACATCAAACCCCCCTAAAGACAGCCATCGGCCCAACCCCGCAACGCGACGGCAAAGCCCTCGGCCTCTTCGACCTCCTCTCCGAGTCCGGCGGCAGCACCGCCACTCCATCCGCAACACGCATAGCCAGTCTCCGCGACACAGCAGTTCAGACACCCTCACGACGAAGGAAACAGCTCGACACAATCGCCGAAGAAGGCGAAGAAGAGGACGACGACGAAGACGACAATAGTCCCAGAGAAGCACGCACCCCCGCCTCATCAGGCAAGAAATGGATGCTCTCCACTCTCTTCGCAACCCCAACGACATGGCGCTACGCAATGATGGAGAACGAAAAACAAGGTCCACGGTACCCAGCATACATTCGAACCGACGACACAGCATCAAAACAGACGGAATCGCAGGCCGGACCGAACGCCGAAGAAACCCCTTCGTTCCTCCGCCGCGCAACAGCAACCCGCTACAATCCCAACAATAATGCTGCAGACGACGGCGGCCTTAGCCCCATAGCCGTGCGCAAGAGACCCCAATTCGTCGGAAAGGGTCTCTCGGCTCTAGTCCAGGGACTCCGCGATATGGAAGAAGAGCAAATGCAAGATGACATGGACATACTTCATGAAATCGAGGCCGAACAACAGCAACAAGCGGCAGGAACCATCACAGATAGCCAGACACAACAACAATACCCGCCTACCGAAGAATCCCGCCCATTCAAAAAGAAGGGCCAGAAACGAACCACTCGCAAAGTGCGCATGAAGCCCGTTACCGCGAAACCAAAACCGGAGCCCCAGTTACCCGCTTCGGACAATGAAGAAGAAGAAGAGGATAATGAGGCGGATATAGTCCCCGAAACACAACATCTCAATATCCCGGGGACTGAAACGCACGATACAGATGACGAACTCAACTCAATCCATTCTATATCAGGGTCCGAACCGGACTTGGACCCCGACTATGACTACGATGAAGAGGAAGAGGCATTATCTAAGCCTCCGGCAAGGAGTAAGAGTTTCTCGGAGAGAATGAAAGAGGCGATTGAGGCGGATAAACCGCAGGCGCGAGAGAAGGAGCAGGAGGATACTGAGAAGGAGAAGAAGAAGACGAAGTCGAAGGCTCAGACGCAGACGCAGACTCAGCCGCGTGCTAGGAAGGTCAATCCGGCGGCGCATGCTAATTATCGGTCTTTGAAGCTGCGGAATAGAGGAAGTAAGGGGAGATACGGGGGACGGTTTGGGAGGAGATAGATGGTCGATGAGGATAGATTAAAGTAGAGAGGATACCCAATGTTGTCCCTGTGACGCTGTCTGCTTGGGACATGATACGAGCAATGACTATGACCATAGCATAAGTATATAATATTCATACTTGAGATACCATATCCCTTGAACTATATATTGAGAAGCAACTGTCTATTTGTCTAGTTATAGTACTTCAAATACAACATAGATAGTAGTCCGTACACCTAGCCTTGCTTCAATCGGGAACATACCGATCCCGGGCATATTGCACCCGTCTCGCCTGAGCCACAGCATCCCGAGACGACCTGCCCCCTCTCCGATGATACGGCGGCTTATTCACCCGCCCAGAAGAATTAGGAAACCGAGGTCCCCTATTATCTCTATATACTGGCGTAGCAGTTCTACTCTCCTCGCGCTCCCGCCGCGAAGGATGAGCATTACCACCACTACCCACGGTATCCTCATACTGGACATTCCGATCCCAGTCCTCAAGAGAGATATAAGGACTCCTCAACCAAGCCTGCAACTCATGCAGAAACAACCGGGCATTCTCCCTGCCCAGAAAATCGCGTAACAGCTCCTCCGCCTGCCCAGCACTACCCTTAATATCCACAGTTCGTAGAATAGCAATGATATACTCGAGTAGAAACTCTGCGTTATTGCCGCGCCGGTTTTCGAGTCTCTGCTGACCGGGGCGCGCAACCCCTCCGCCTTGTCGGTCCTCTGATTCTGGGTTGAGAAACTCGAATACTTGCAGCTCCCGGCGGATCCATTTCCGGGCTCGGGAGACGAGGTCTTCTTCGCGATTAAAGCGCTCCGGAGTCAGTTCGCGGTATTGTGAAAGACGGTTGGAGCCGACACGGAGGGAATAGAGTTGGTGTCGGTAGATGTGTTGGCGGCGGCGGAGCGGGTCGGTGGACTGTTGTTGTTGTTGGGGACGGGGGCTGCGCGGACGACGGGGTCGGCGGGGTGGGCGATGATGTGAGGGTGTTGGTAGGTGTGAGGTTGAGGAAGTGGTTGTGGCGTCGCTTGTGCTTGCTGGGAGTTGGTAGATCTTGGGGCCGTTGATGTCCTCCAGGTTGTATTTCACTGATGTGATCTCACTCTTGCCTATATCTAGTCAGATATTTACTGGATAAGGATAGGTGTCTATCAAAGGGGATGTACATACATAGCGGACAGTTGCGACGCTGTTCCAGCCAGCTCAGCAAACACAGAAAGTCAAAGTTCGCATGGCGACATGGCACCGCGATGGCGACTTCGGAGATGGGTTCGAGACAGATCACGCACGGGTTAGCGTCGTGCTCGCCTTCATCGTGCGCTACCTCTTGCAGAGTCCGCTGGAGGATTTCCTGTTGCAGGTCGACATCATGGGACATGAGATCGACACCCGGCCGCTTGTTAGAAGCTTGAGGACGGGTTGATGGGTGTCATGGAGCGATAAGTTGAAGCAGTCGCATTGCAGCGTATCGCTGACCGCCTGGGAACGTCATTCCTGGCGTTACCGCCTTTACTGTGGGCTTCACCGCCAGCATGCGGTAGTTTCTGTCGGCAGAAATAGTACGGGAGACGGTAGTTTCTGTGTGGCAGAACAGGTATTCACTGAGGATTACTAAATGCCACGCCATATAACTAGTATCGCCACGAGTGTACTACTGTATAACTTGAACAGTGTCTAGAGTCTGCCATAAACCGAACTCTGGGATTAAGGTACACATGAGCTCGATATATATCCGTAGTCTACTTATGAGTGCATTTATAATGTCAGATAGTAGTAATATCATTCTAAATTTATGCCATACCAACAGCTTTCGGTTGCTGTATTCACTATCCGAGCAACTGTGGCCAGCCGTGTGGTTAGTGTAACAATTCCGTGCCATTCGGCCGGAGGGAAACTGGGCGTTGGCGTCCACCGTATCACAACTCTCGCGGCCGCATACATTGACAAAATCTCCGCAAACTCGTCAAGTCGCAAGCTGTAGCCAAAAGAAAAGTCCTACTTCTATGTAGAGGCATGCACTAACGATACGCTACTGACTGCTATGATTGATGAACAATGAGATCTGCGAAGGCTGTAGTGACTGAAAACGCAGCCGCCGCCATGCGTGTCCAGGCTCATGGCGCTCCGGCGCGAACCATCACAAGTTTAAGGCGATGGTCTATAGCCAACAGAGAGCTGCCAGGTAAGCTAGCTCCACGGGAAACCTATTACTGTACTGACGCCTTTTCTCTTCGGAATCAGCGGTATCCCATATACGGTCTATTCATGTCTACGACTTTGATAATACATGTAAGGATGATCCGCGGTGGCGGCAAGCGACAGCGTCAAGTTAATGCCGTCCAGTATTCTTGAGTCCTCTGCCAAACCCACAGCTATGGAACGGTCCGACCATCGGGTTTCTGCAGGCCTATGAGAGCTTTGCGAATGGAGGCTGGTGGCACGATCCGAACTTGCTGGCCGCGACCGGCGATGGCATCGATAAAGAAGAGCCACGGGCCTGGGAGGGATGGTGGAACGAACAGATTGTGCGGAATAAGTGATATTGATCGGTGCGGCTGGCAGTGAACTGACCTGTTACAGGTTCAATTGGTCAAGCTGAGTATGGAGCAGAAAGATGCCCTGACGGTGCTTCTGACAGGCCGCGGCGAGACCAATTTCTCCGATCTTGTCCGGCGTATGGTGGACAGTAAGAAGCTGGAGTTTGATCTCATCTGTCTCAAGCCTGAAGTTGGCCCGAGGAGCCAGCGATTCTCCACTACGATGGAGTTCAAGCAAACTTTTCTAGAAGACCTTGTTCTCACTTACGAGCAGGCCGAAGAGATTCGCGTTTATGAAGATCGCGTGAAGCAGTGCGTGTTTGCTGATACCTTTCCTATGGGAAACACTTCTGATATTCTGCCAGTGTGAAAGCCTTCCGGGATTATTTCGAGCAACTAAACCGCAGGTTTCAGGCACCCAATAGTGGTAGAAGGCCCATCGGCTCTGAAGTCATTCAGGTCGCCGAAGGATCAATGTACCTTGCCCCTGTAATGGAAACTGCCGAAGTGCAGCGGATGATCAACTCTCATAACCTTACTATTCGCAATCCGTCGCTCAACCTGGCCAAATCTCCTTACGGCCGGCTTCGCATCAAGCGGACTATTTTCTACACTGGATATCTTATTTCCAATGCTGATTCGGGTCGGCTAATCCGCCAGATTCTGAACCCTATGCTGCCATTCGGGCATGCCGATTCTAATGATCTGAAATATATGGCCAACAGTATACTAATCACTCCCCGTCCAGCGCCCCGATCCATTCTTGACAAGGTCGGTGGCATCGGTAAGAAACTGAGTTGGCAGGTCACTGGGACTGCATGTTTTGAGAACCGCGTATGGGCTGCGCGCCTGACACCTGTGCCAGCCACAGAGAAATACTACACAGAAAACCCCCACCCCGTGGTGGTGCTGGCGGTGCGCAAAGGCGCCCGTCCGATTGACGCGGGTAAGATCCAGAATTGGCACCCCGTCCCTGCCGACAAGGCCTTGACTTTTGAAACGGTCGTCGGAGAGAAAGTTGTCCTTCGTGTTGAGGAAGAGAACCCCAATGAGGGCGAATGGGAGAGTCAGTTCTTAAATAAAAATCATAAGAGACGCCATCAGCAGGAGCGGGATGAAGAAATCTTGTATCCAGATGGAACTCAGGATGGGCCGCCCCATAGCAGGCCGCACTATAACCCGCGGTATGGAGGCAACAACCGCAACCACCACGATGATGGACCTCGCCGGGGTGGCTCATACCGCGGCCGCGGCCGTGGCTCGGCGCAGCGAGGCAGAGGCCATCAAAACCGGGGTGGCACCCGTGGTCGAGGCCGTGGCCGTGATGCCGGACCTCCAGGAGGGTATCGGTCCTTGGATGACTATGGCGGCGGGTATGATGGGAACCACTACGAGGAGAAACCAGGACCAGGCGGGGGCCCGGTGATGAACTATTAGTCTTGGCTCTGTGAAGCTAACGGTGGTATCCTGAGTTGTTCATTTTGTGTTTACTTGTTGCAAATTCCTATTGAATGATATCCTCAAATGATACACTACTACCAAGGTTATGTACCGTGATTGACATCAGATTGATCTGTCGCATGATGCAGAGATCATTGATTTTACAGGCTAGTTGTTGATAGATACCACATGAGATCCTAGCTGGTGTCATTTGGGCCCTCCAACGATGAACTCGATATACGCTCTACTACCTCCACCGTCCCTACCATTTAGTAGTATTTGTCAGGAAGTAAATGTCACTAACATCAGTGATGTCCCCCCTTTCAGTTCCCCTCTTCAGTACCCTCAGCAGGTATGACCACGCAGTTCGACGAAATGTTCCACTTATGGGAAAAGGTGTAGCGTGTTTGTACGTAGTTATGGAAGCTCGAGTTTAGGATTAGGTGGATAGTGATAATCAAGTGAAACAGTTCAATTGCAAAATCATAGATTCATTATTCTGGCAGTCTGTAGCTAAAAAGAGTAAAATGTGGTCAAATCATTCTGCGTAAGTAAACCCTGAAAACATGAAAATCAAAGCATCATAGTAGTTTCAGTTTTCAGGCGGGGTCTAAGCCTGAGCCAGAGGCGGAACCGGAGACATCGTAGTAGGATCAGACTGGACCACGGGCCTAGGCTTGTAAGCTCTGCCCGACTTCCGTTAAATCCAAGCATAATGCTGCTCATTGCGTGAGGGATCCGGGGCGGAGTTCTGACCGGTCAAGTATTCCTCAAATTCCGGATCCTTCACATGCAACATGCGCTGACTCTTTGCGCAGATATCTTCCACCGTAATGAGTTTTCCTGCTTTCAGTTTGCTCATGGACAGAATTGACTCCAGGGAACGAGCACCATGTAGGACGGTGGGAGTGAACAACAGTGCATTGCGGACGCCAGTATCCATTTCAATTGGTTTTCCTTTCGCAAACTTGAAAATCCTCTCAAGCATGCTTCGAAGCAGAATTGCTCGCCGGATGGGGAAATAGTTCATATCCTGATCCCCAAATTCGCTCGGCCCGAGAATGTCTACGTATCCTTTCAAAGCAGTTCTGAAATCTTCCTTGACTTTTCGGTGAGGATTTGTGATGTTCTGGAACAAGCCAATTGAATGGGGCTTGTTTGCCTTACTGTCGCTTAGAAACCAGGTAGTAAAGATGTTCTCGAGGGGTTTATATATGTTGTCAGGTTCAGCCTGCTTGGGTCCGATTTGGATCTGCCCTCGGAGTCTGCTCACAAAATCCGGTAGTTTCGCACCTGGAAATAAGCTAGAATTCAAATCTGTTTCAGGGAATCCGTTGAAGTGTTCTGTCCCCTGTTCAAAGACAAACATGGCACGCCCGAGGGGATGTCGGTTGCCGTGGTCGAAGAATTCGCCGTCTTGCATCGGAGCGAGGAAGTATTTCAGCCATCCCAATTTCTCGTCGCCAAAATTGCTGTCTAATTATCTGAAGAAGACCAGTGGGATGTCTCCTGCTAGCGTCTTGTCCCGAATTTCGTAGAATATATCTAAACAGTCGTTCAGCACACATTGGCCACGTTAAGCCACAAACTTAGCCTTCGCACATTCATATCAATTGATGAGGCTCATGCGTTCTCTCAGTAGCAAGTTCCGTTGGCTTCATCCGGGATACACAAACCGAGCAGTCTGGTTTCCGCATCGTCTTTATGATATAAATAGACGCCAACTGCGGAGCTCTTCAGACCAGATGCTCCTTCTCTCCTCTTTTATGGAGGTCATTGGTACGTCTACTGTAGACCGGTAGCTTTAGCAATACGACGATGAGAATAGAGGATTTGGTTAGTATGCTTTCGTCTGTTTACAAGAAAGTATGAGTTACGATATAAGCGACTACGGTCAGGATACTAGGGCTCGGAACCTTATATATCTTTTGGATACCTGAAATGTCTTTCCAGCGGTGTGGCTTATCCTATTTGGAAATGACAGTCATCTCATCCCGTTAGGTCTGATTAGGTACCAGAAGGATGCAGTAGTGACAAATTGCAATTCTGCACAGTCGCATAGACTTTTCTGCGGGCATTGATTGCTCTCCTCCCTGCCTACAAGAATGCAGATGTCCGCAGAGAAGTTAGTGTATCGAAAAGCCCCAGTTGCCAAGCCAGTGGAGTCAAACAAGATGTTATTTGGGATGCTATCGATGAGAGTTTTATTCAGTAGTACCAGGTAGAAGCCAGCTGCGGGACTTAAGCAGGCGTGATGGGTAAACTATTTCGCTGGCAAGAGCCTTCTCCGGAAGCTTGCTAGATCCGCAAAACCCTATTTCATCATCGCCATCGTGCCAACCCATGGGCCGGGAACTCACTCCGGTTCGCGCGTGTTCCACTTCGCAGATTTGCTGTTGGAATGCTGATGCTGAATGAACTGGGGCTCCTGTGGTGGTCTTCTACTGAGATGAGTAGCTTCCACAACTTGGACGGCTATTCCGACTCACCTGTTGTGATACCGTACATGCTAGGCACAGTTTACGCACCATTCCAACACAGGATGGCAAACAATCTTAAATACAAAACAGCAATTTACTTTCAATTGTCAGCAGGACAATTTTGAGTGTTAAATCTTCTGCCGCCATGACCCCAGAATGTTCAACGAGTCGTGACGTCACAGCCATGAAGTCTCAGGATGCTGCGATGCAACTCATCAGGCGGTGACGTGCTACAGTTGTTCTCGGATAGAAAATTAAATCATGCAAAAGGGATCAACGTCCAGACCTGCAGTTTAATCCGACGGATCAATGCCCGTCCAACTGTCGGTAGCTCCAGGTCCTTCCATCGGATATACGGCTTTGGGACAGGCATTACGGCTATAGCTCTGGCCGAGATGGACAATCGCCTGTTAAACTCGCTTTAGAGTTCATTGACCAGAGGACCGCTCTGATAGCTGCAGATTGCCACTGGATTTCGTTCCTATAAAGCAAAGATGTCTCAGCTAATAGATCCTGGTAATATAGAATCAGTGTGCTTATTTTTCCCTGGGCCCACGAGATCGACTAGTCCTCCCCCGTCATGGAAACCATCCGAGACTCAGCATTTGGGAAGCTAGTACGCATCTTCAGCCGAAAGAGATGGCTGCGTTACCCCGAAGAGAATGATACGGGCATGTGGACCGAGTACCTGAAGACGGAGAAACAGGTCAAAGATGAGGAAGCAGCTGCCTCTGAAAGCGATCAGGAAAACCTGGGTCTCTATACTGTTCTCTCGCAGGCCTCCAGAGCATCACGTCGCCTATCATCGGCATCGACAGTTAGACAAGGCGGGGGAGAAGGAGCACATCCGAATCCCAATGCATCACTTGTCATCGACTGGAGCGGGCCAGATGACCCTGAGGTACGTATAGACCTTGTGCACTGTCTCCGTCTGCATCTGATAGTTTGATTGTATGCTGACAGGCATATAGAATCCGCAGAACTGGAGCACTTTCAAGAAGCTGTTTGCTAGCAGCTTAATCTGGCTTCTGACGTTCGCTATCTACATCGGCTCTGCGATTTACACACCAGGCATTCCTGATGTTTGCGAGCAGTTTGGAGTGAGCAGAGTGGCTGCCACGTTGGGGCTGACCCTATTCGTGCTGGGATATGGCTTGGGTAAGTGCTAGCAACATTTACTATTCCCCCCTCCCAAAACTTGGTATAATGGTAACTAATGGCATTATAGGCCCAATGGTCTGGTCTCCTTTGTCAGAACTACCTCCCGTTGGTCGAAGCCCTACGTATGTCCTTACACTGTTCGTCTTCGTCTTCTTCCAATTTGCCGTCATCTACGCCACAAATTTCGGAATGCTTCTGGCCTTCCGATTCCTTACTGGCTTCATTGGATCCCCAGCTCTAGCCACTGGCGCAGCCTCCATGGGGGATATCTGGAATCCCAAGATGCGCGACTACATGATCATCATATGGGGTGCGTTTGCCATCTCCGCACCAGTCTTGGGTCCTCTGGTAGGCGGCTTCGCTGCGCAAGCAGAAGGATGGAAATGGACCATATGGCAGCTTCTTTGGGTCTCCGGTTTTGCTTTTGTTCTTCTATTCTTTTTCCTTCCGGAGACATATGCACCCAACATCCTCTACCGCCGAGCTCGTCGCGTCCGCCAGATCACGGGCAACTCCAATTACCGATGTGAAGCTGAAATTGAGGTCGCCAACATGAAGAAAGCGGTAAGCCCTTGCACTCCCAACCCATTTCCCACAATCTGTTCGATCTTACTAAACATCAAACCCGCACAGGACATTATTTTCGAAGCCCTCGTCCGCCCCTTCGAACTATGCTTCTTCGAACCCATCGTCCTATTTATGAACCTCTACATCGCCCTCATCTACGGCATCCTCTACATCTGGTTCGAAGCCTTCCCTATAGTCTTCAGCGAAATCCACGGCTTCAACACCGGCGAAAGCGGTCTCGCTTTCCTCGGTATCCTCGTCTCAACCTGCTGCATCACCATCCCCTGCTACTTCTGGTGGAAATGGAAATACCAAGCCAAATACTTCGACGAGAACTGGAACATTACTCCCGAAATGCAGCTTCCACCGGCCTGCATTGGATGCTTCGCTCTCCCCATCTCCCTCTTCTGGTTCGGCTGGACGGGCCAGTTCGCCTCCGTGCACTGGATCGTGCCTATCATTGCGTCCATGTTGTTCAGTGTCGGTGGTTGTCTCATTTTCAATTGCATTTTCTGCTACCAGGCGCATGCGTACCCTAAGTATGCGGCGTCGGTGCTCGCGGGAAATGATTTCCTGCGCTCGTCGTTTGGGGCTGGGTTTCCGTTGTTCGCTACGGCGATGTTCCATAATCTGGGGGTGGGGTGGGCGTGTACTTTGCTTGGGTGCTTGTGTGTGCTTTTTGTGCCGTTTCCGTTTGTGTTGTTGAAGTTTGGGAGGAGGTTGAGGTTAGCGAGTAGGTATGCGAGACATGATATTTGATCTTTACGTGTGGTGTGGTTGATGTGATCGTTCTACTGTTATGTTTTTTTTCTCAATCCTTATTGACGATGATTATGACATCATGGCTCTTATACAGCGCATTGTACAAACGTATATCATTTATTTATACCCGAAGGATAGTTAATGAAACAATGAATTGGGTTTATACATGCATTATTGTTGAACTAAATGCCTAAGCACATGTGCATAGTATTTTATATTGCGCATTTGCATTTGCATTTACTTACATCTAGACGCAGCCAATCAAAACCAATCATTCAATCAATCATAAAACCATAAAATCTTTTATACATGCCATTCTTCAATACCAACCATAATACTGAGAACCATCCATAAACACAATGCTAGCCAAAACCGACAGAATGTACAATAAAGAGAAAGAGATAAAAAGGAGATAAAGTAACGGGGAAATAAGCGGTAGTGAACCAATCAATCAATCAATCAATCATTTGGCTTTCAACATATAGTGATAAATATAATCTTTGTTCAGCCGGGGTGAGACACTTTAAAAACAGAGGGTCTCAAATATGTTATCATGGTGATGGTGATGACAATGGTGCTCATTATGCATTTCTTCATGATTCCCGTATTTCCATATCCATTGTAGTCCATAGTAATCCATATCCGTAATCCATGTGCCGTGAAAATGTCCATAACAAAAATCATTCGTTTCGAGTTTGGGTGGTGGGTGTGGGTGTGGGTCGTGATTATTCGTTTTGCTGTCTTGGTCGTGCGTATTCGTGTCGTGTCGTCGGGGGAGTGGAACTGGGGTGTAATATGTCCGGGGGAAAGAAACCAAAACCAATCCAAGCGCATATAACAGGGTAAAAAAGCAAGAAGGAAAACAATGCAAAGGATTATGCTAGTCGGTCAACTGCTGGATCAGTTTGACGCTCAGAATCATCACTAGCAGTCCTATCGTCACGACCACCAGAAGTCCGAATCCAAACCAGCCGAGAACCATGGCAGACGTACCCACACCACTCTTGACACTTCCGTTGCCCAGGTCCTGAACTATTGTGCTGGCGGCTACGGATGCGGTGTGCTGCCATAATACTGAGACAAGAACGAAGACCGAGGCCACAAAAGTCAAGGCTAATGCTGCTTGGGATACAGGCCGCGATGGGATCGGTCTGGCTTCGATTTCGGAACCGCTGGGGTCCAGCTCGTCGTGCCATCCAGGGAAGGTGGCGAGAATGACGAAGCAGAAGAAAGCGAGGATGACGGCAAGGATTCTGGATTGCAACAGTCAGTTAAAACGCCTTGCTGCGGAGGGAAGATAAGAGCGTACAGAAGATATGGGAAGACGACTGCATCCTTGAACGTTGATGCTACCCAGATCAGGTTCAACGGATCTTGGTCAACTGTGACAATCTCCGCTAAAGCTGTCGCATTCGAATTGCAGATGTAGGATCCGGCGTCTGGCTGCACGCAGATGCCGAAATAACCCACGCGGACTTCCATCTCGGCTCCTCCCACGATATTTGCTGTTGCTGTCACCACCCCCGGATCTACCTGGGCGAGATTGAACGTTGGTTTGTAGCGCTCATAGTACATAGAGATTAGGAAGATGTCGGGGATCTGCGGGGAGGACGATGAACATCCTGCTAATAGTAACGCTGGGACGGAGTTAGTCGCATTTTTGGAAGGGGCCCGGAAATGACAGCTCACATAGTAGGATGATCGCCACCGCGATGATTATCATCAACACATGGTGGTACCCGACCAGTTGCAGAACCCCTTGATATCGACAGTCAGTATTGCTAAGGAGTTATTCAAATTGGAGACACGTAGTGAAGACGTACGGGGTAGCTTCGCTGTTATTCCCGGCATCTAGGGCAATATGTTCTGTGTATTCCTCTTTCTGTCCAGTCCAACTCACTTCTCGGGACTCCGAGAAGGAGTACTAAGTGTCCGGTGCGGCTCACTCTGTCGGACACCACCCGATGACGAGCGGTATTGATGTTGTGGCAGAGGACAGGGACCCGAATCGACTGCCGATGGGGTCGCAGGGCGGAGCGCGTGCTTGGTAAGGAAGAGTGCCGATATGGTTGGAATGGAATGTGACGGATCTGGTGGGCGACGGAGAAGTGGGAATGTGTCAATGCAGGAGATCGAAAGAATGGACGACGCCCTTGTCCCACGATGAACCCTGACAGATCTAAGGGCAGTCAGAATGCAGAAAAAGTAACGAATCGGTCTTGTGGATTGAGATAGATGGGTTGCAGTATGCCGAAAAGAGGCAAGTGGAAGATGGGAGGGGGTGAAGATGGGGAAGGGCAAGAGATGGAAGGGGAGAGGGAGAGGGAGAAAGGGCTCGTAGCTGAACGAATCCTCCGAAAACCTCGAATTGCGCAGCGGTAGGGTGGATGGCAATGGCGATGATGGTGGTGATAATCGAGGAGGCTGGGAAGGGCGTATACAAGTGACGGGCGGAAGTGGCCCAATGGGGGAGGCTGGGCCACTGGTCTTTTGTTTACCGCGTTGGCCCGCCTCTCGTTCCCCGGTAACCATCCCCCACCGCCTGCTGTATTCTTATCCGTTACTGGCGCTTGTCCAGATCGGGAAGGCTGATCGTGTCCACCGATAACGCTAGCCTGATCAGATCAGCCCCACTGGCTTATCGGCACCTGATCGGTCCAGCCTCCAATTCGGAAACCAAGAATCATCTTCAATAGTACCTGCTGCTCCATCGGTACCTTGCTTGATATTTGGAACATTTTCTAATTATATCTTCCCACAGATCGCACTGCAGATACTATACTAAAGCTAATTCTAGCCCCATTCTTATCTTCATTACACTCGCAGTAGTTGTCTTGCTCCTCGCATTTTAGGGTCGTAGTGTACGGGAAATATATATTAAACGATCTTACTAACAGTACTACTTGGTTAACTAGTAGTATGAATTCCATGGAAGAGGAGCTCCAATTCACTCATAGTAGGTACTACTAATAGTATCCTTATTATGCTATCACTATTACTAGTATACTGAGATTCCTTGAATGATAGTGCTTGTTTTCTAGATGCCGCACTACATAGAAAACAGAGTCCTTTGCACGACTAGTAGCAGTTGCGTTACTCTGTGGTTCCACATTAAGTGTCTCATTTCAAGAATATTGGGTGCTGCGAGACGGTGGTACTCCACTTGATAGACGACAAAGTATATAGCTTGGACCATTCGGATATTGAGACAGCCATCCCTTAAAATCAAGGTGCCTCCTCAGAAGACCCTACGAGGACTACTTATGTTCATCTACTCGCTCAAGTCTATGATCACGGCCGTCAAATGCTTTATTGAATAGGTATCTAATTAGTATAATTCATCTACTGGATGTGGTATGTGTAGAGCGCCGGAAAGTTTGAGGATAGTCTTCACATGCGCTGTCACTGAAGGCCTGGCAACTCTTCCAGGCATGGCCAATTATAATCAAAAGCTGTGAGGACTCATAACCGGAGCAGATGTCCAAGTCCATGTCTTCGAGACACAACACAGCTCTGGCGAGCGCATATAAGAGTCACAGTTATATGTATAGACAAATCAAGTGGTGCGATGTGGAGGCCATGAAATAAAATCCAGAAGGAGGCTTCCCCATCAACTGGGAGTGAGTGGGACCAGTTTCCCGCATGTGATGCTTCCAAAGAATGCCAATGTCTAAGATGTAATTGCACTTCGGGGACCCAATATTCTATTTACCCATGAACGAGAATCGTCGTACATCAAATGAGGCAAGTCCCACTGGGGCTTGGGTCTCGCCCTCGGATTCTTCATCTTCACTATCCGGAATAATCATGTCTTCACTGCCTTGACTGGGTGTTGCCAGACTTCGCACTGGGTTGGAGTCAAGCTTTGCAACTGCAGGGCTCTTTGTCGGTGTTTTTGAAGCTCTAAATGCTGCCAGGGAGGGAGAAACACAATTGAGTGATCGAGACCGAGCCAAGGCGCTTTGGCCCAGCCGTTGCAATGGTGTCGTCCGCTGACGTCTGGGAGAGTTCCCCAACAAGCCGTGCCGCACCCCTGTAGGCACCATGTGCTCATCCAAGGAACCCGACTGGTGGCCTTTACCACCATGCTTATCATTTCGAGGACTCACAGAAACATTTCCGGCCTGGAAGACGTACTTTGAAAGCGTCGCAGAGTTTGCATTAGGCACAAGGTCTGGTGTAGAACTGTCGTCGACAGCATTCGATTTTTTCTCCGAAGCTTGTTCAGCAGTGGAAAAACTCTGCTTCTCGGTTTGGTCTTTGCAGTTTGCCGCAGGAGATTCAGAAGCACCGGACCCAGAAGTAGCTGCGGCAGGCGTCTGAATGGACCTGCCACTGATGGAGGATGAATTATTATCACCAATTATCTGTATCTCAACTCTAGGGGTTTCAGTCGCGTGGCTCGGGTCTGGTAGCTGTGTCATGAGGTCTTCTGCAGAGTCATCCGAGAAAACGTCCAAGGTAGACTTTCGAGCCTTCTTTGTGCGGGTGGCCTTCTGTGCACTTGGACTAGAATCGTCAACACTACCGGAGAAGAATCTGCTGCGGCAATCCGGCGGATTGGGAAGGTTAGCTTCCTCTGCATCAGAACATAGTCGCTGCCGCTTAGCGGGCTGCAAAGTCGTTGTTCTGGAGGCGTGTGCCAGGAAGGCATTACGCTCCACACTTCTAATCAAAGGGCTAGAAGCCCGATTTGACGATCCGACTGATGACGCAGATCTTATGAGTGCTGGCCGTGATGGCGCCGGAACACTGTCCCAAGAGCTGTTGGCATGACGTTGTAGCAGCCGTTGTTGGCTGGGAGAGGGACTGAGGCTATTCGGGTCCAACTCTGCCAGAGGAACGCGCTTGGGGGTGAAGAAGGAATTAATGGGCTTGTTTGGCTTGAGTTCAGCAGACGAGCCCAGGGTCTGTCGACGACTTATCGTGTTGGTCAGCCTCTTATCGGCCGGTTTAGCTGCGAGCGATGGCTTTAGTACAAGAGGTTCCTTGGTCGTTGGGTCCAAATCACCACGCGCAACTCCGACCGCAATGTCAGGTTCCACGTCACCACCGATAAATGTGAGATCTTCTAGATTTATTTCGGCCTCAGGAGGTGTAAGGGTAACCAGTTTCCCAGCTTTCGGACAGAAAACTCTCTGATAAAGAAACGTAAGCTCTGCCTGTCTGAAGTTGTCCAGGTAATCAGAGGGAACGTGGTATTGACCGTCGAACTGAAGCATCCGCAACGCCCGTTCTACGTTCTTGTACTTTCGAATGCTTCGGTAGGCTGTCTTCAACCCTAGCCGTGCAATATTGGGAAGATAATCGCAGCCACTGAGAATGCACATCCGTCGAAAGTCATCATCGGTCCATCCGATCAGACTTACCTCTCGACAGGCCGAGAAGTCAGCACGATTAATCTCAATACAGTCGCCATGTTGGTCGAGCTTGGATAACAACCGTTTTGCGCCAAAGACGAGCAGATCAGAATCCTCTGAAATGATACCAGAGATAACGCCTTGTCGTTCCAGATAAGCCAGTTGTGCGTCTGCCTCGTACGGAGCCACGACGTATTGGACGTTTATCTTCTTCAGCTCCTCTATTAACTCCCGGGCCATCAAGGGCGTCACGTCGACGGCCTTCTGCAGCTCCTGGTATGCCTCTGCAATCCGCCCCTTTCGCTGGAGTTCCAAGCCGAGGGCTTTGCTGTCCTGCCGTCTCTTTTGACGCTCCACCTCGGTACCAGCCTTGCTTGGCAGCTCATCGCCGTCGAAAACAAGATATGGTGTCACCCCGAAGTAGAGGAGCATGCGGACTCGGTTTAAGACGAAATCGATGTGTCTGCAATCGTGTGAGCAAGTGATGGTGACATACAAGCTTATGAGTTTTGGACGTACTTCCTAGTAGGCCTTTCCAAAACCAAGTCCACCGCGCAGGCGACGGTGCCTCGATGTAGCCATCCATATGCATCGATTCCCAGGGTCTGCCCACTGAACGTTTTGAGGTGACACGGTTTTTGTATGGATTTGAGCAGGCCATGAAGTCCTATATGGTGTGTAAGCAAGCCTAACACTTTGTGTGGCAAGGACAATCAGAAAGATACCTTTAATGCCCATTGTCAGCGTCCTTAAAAGACCGGATACTCCTTGTTGTAGGAAGTAGCACCGCCGAAACAGACATCAACTGGTGTCTGTTGGTGCTTAGGGGTCAATTCTGACGACGAACATGGGAATTAGAGGACATCAGTGCTCAGTAGCATGCACCAGGCTAAACCACCACCTAAACAGTCGCGAAATGAGGATGATTCAGACAATAAGATTGGAATGCTACCTCCCTGGTCCCTCTGACGCGCAAGGAACGCGATGGGGAGGCCCCATCCATTCGCTCTCCTGATTGGTCTTGCTGAGGCGGTGCCGCCACTCCACATTACCGCCTTCAGATTCTGCCAGAGAAAAAAGAAATCCTCCGCAAAAGACGAAATTCAACTTCTGACTGTCGGATCAAAACTTTCTGGTCTTTTGTTGTGGACAGAGCTAAGAAGCTAATCAAGCCATTTGCCCGCCATGCCGAAGACATTCCAGAAAGTTACCAAGCATATTGCCAAGAAGCGAGGCGCTGTTGAGGCTCTCCACGAGTTCAGCAGAGATGCCAGAAGACTGCGCCGAGCCAATGCCAGAGATGATCGAGTCGCTCGTGTCTCCGCCAACATGTCGCGCGCCAGACAGACATACGGTATGGCAGTCTTCCTTGGGACTCTGTGCTTCGATGTTGCGATAACTAATTTTTCTCTTGTTTAGTGGAACGGATCGCCTACTTCCACGAGAGTATCCCAGAAGGCCAAGCTCCGATGTCAGAGGATGAAATGAAGGATATTGTAGTCAGGTATGCCCCACTGTCTGTCAACCGTGAAAATCGCACATACTTACGATCGCCAACTTTAGATACATTAACCGCAGCGTGCCCGAGATCGAACAACTACAGAGCGAGAGGCGGAAAGGCAGGCCGCCCAGCAAGCGCGAAGAAGCATTGTTGCAGCGAACCGACGTTGAGAATCGCGAGTTCAAGACGGGATTTTGGATGCCCGACTTTAGCGATGAGGGTGTGCTCAAGGCCCTCGCCTCGTGGAACGGAGACTGGTCTGGACTGAGCACGATGAAGTTCATTCGTATCACTAAGGACGGAGCGAAACAACCTTCAGCATTCCCGCCGAAGGGCATGTCATGAGACGTCAAAAGTTCTGGTTTTCTTTCTGCTTTTTCATTCTTTGGGAGATCGGAGATTCGTAGTATGCGCGGAGATGGATGGCATAACGGCGTTACGATTGCACATAGATTTTTACAAAAGCTGTTGAATCATTTTTGTAGCTGTATAATGTCACCTAAAGCCTTGAGAGTAACCAGGGTGAGTCTCACCACAGTATGATCTGGATAAGCCATGGCTTGTAACCTCACGATGGCGAAATGCTG